GGACCCATATTGCAGGAGTGATTGGCATTTTAGTGTTAATGTGTACACTTGTACAAGGAGAGACATAGTAATTCTCTTTTTCTTTCCTTCCTCCTCCACCCACTCCTCCTTCTCTTCTTCTTCTTACCTATCTCAAACTGTGGTGGCTTTGAAATAGCTTTTTGAATTATCCATGGGAGTTTTCAGACAGGAGCCCCCTTGAGACAGATGTCAGGATAAGCCCTCTGAAGCTGATTTCTCCTCATTGCTTTTTTTTTTATCTCACGTAGACAGCCACAAAACACCAAACAGAACCCTAATTAGACTGCAAGAAAAAGGTATAGTAGGGCTTGAAAAACGGAAAATCAGACAGCAAAATATAGTTTAGAAAGGAAGGAATGATTTATGAGCAGATATTTCATAAAAGTAGCAGGAGGGCAGTTTGATTCTGACCCCATTTCGAAGATGGCAAACACCTTCCCTTCCTCCTGTCCCCCTTGTCGCCAGCATGCCCTTGCGATTTGCATTGTAGAGTGTACCCTCTGTGAGAGCAGGGCGTGTGTCCCCTCTGTTCATCTCCTCGGCACCTAGCGTGGTGGCACCAGTCAGTGTTACTATACATGTTAAAAATATATGACTAACGGTCATGAGGTGAGCCTCCACCAGCTAAATGCTTACTCCCTGGCAGGCCCTATGCGGGACACTTCACACACAGGTTAAAGTAATAAGCTTTGGAGGTAAAGAGCATGCATCCCGCTTTTTTCCCCATCCTCGTTTTGACAGGTACTTGAAACAAAGGCCTAGAGAAAGAAACTGACTGTCTCAAAATATTAATATGCGAGGGCTTCCAGTTCCTCCTTTTCCTTTGCTGGCTTCTTTCTCTGATCTCACTCTCTAAGGAGAAACAGATACAAGCCCAGCTCATGAACTCTTGCAAGAGAAACAGAGCAGAAATCCATCATCTTCAGGGCGTTGTGCATAGGGGTGGTGGGGGGAGGAGTGGGGGCATGCCTTGTCGGGGGTATGCAGGACCCTGCATGCTCAGAGGAGAGGGCACTGGAGGGAGCATCATGGTGGGGACAGGACAGAGTGCCGTCTTGCAAACATGTCATGGTGACATGCGTAAGACCCACCATGCTTATAAACATGATAATGATCTGAGTTCAGTACACTGAAAAAAAAACCAAAAAATTCAGCATCCTAAAAATTTGCCAAATAAGCACAAAAGTGTGAGCCTAAACATTGCTCTAGGAGGTCTTAGGGTCTTATAAAGAGCTCTAAGCTGGATGCCAAGATTTTCATGATAATGATTCAATGTGAAACCTATAATTAGTATGCATGATCATCTAAAAATTACCATACTATCACAATTAGTCAGAAAAGAGTATCTGTCTTCCCGTGACCACTTGAATGCTATAAGGTTAGAGGACAGTCTAACCAGAAAAGACACAGATGCTGATCAGGCCTGGGAGCTCAGTGGAGTACTTACCAGCATGCCTGGTGGGGAGGGAGGTGGGAAGAACAGGAAGAGAATAGTAAGAATACAGTCATGGGGAGCCGCTCATATCAGGCCTTCCAAGTTGCTCTTGGGGCTTTGGTGTTTGCTGTAGGTGATGGGGAAGCCAGTGGAGGGTCTGGGGCAAAGGCGTGACCTGAGATGACTAACGGTTTAGAAGGAGTCCTCTGGTTGCTGTGCTGAGAGGGGCAAGGGTGGAAACCGGGAGACTGGTTGTCAGGGTGGTTGCAGTGATTTGAAAGGAGATGATGAGGCCTCGGAACATAGTGGAGGTGGTAGTGGAGGGTGCAGCTGGTGAGAGATGGTGGCACTGGATATTTTCTGAAGGAGGATCAGATATGGTTTGCTGTGAATTTGATTTGAAACACGAGAGAAGAAAAGTCAAGGACGAGTTCAGCTTTTGGCCTAAGCAACTGTAGAAATGGAACCATCCTTTAATGAGGTAGGTGAAGACTATGGGAGGAGCTATATAGGAGGGAAAGATTAGGAAATCAGTTGGGGATCTGTTAAATTTGAGGTGTTTGCTGAATGCACAGCAGAGTAGATCATTGGATAGGTGAGTCTGGACTTCAGGAGAGCTGGAGCTGGAGATACAAATTTGGGAGCTACTAGCATATACACGATACTTAAGCCATGAGACTAGATGAGATTATAAGGGGGGTGAGTATAAATTAAGAAGAAAAGAGAGTCAGTCTAAAAATAGAACCCTGAGGTTTTCCAGTACTAAGAGGTTGAGTTGATGAGGATGGATTAGCAAAGAGGACTAAAGAGCAGTGGCCAGTGAAGTTGGAAAAGGACCTGTAAGCCAGTATTTCAAAGAGGAGGGAATTATTAACTGAGTCAAATGCTGCTGAAAATTGAAGTGAGGTAAAATTTAACAATTGAACATCACATTTAGCCATATGCAGATCTTTTGGGTGGAATGATGGGGTAGGGGTGTCTGATTTAAGTGGATTCAAGAGAGAATAGGAAACAATGAGTACAGAACTTCTTGAGGTTTTTTGTGAAATGGAACAGAGAAATAGGATGGTATCTTGAGAGGAAAGTAGAGTCAAGAGACAGTTTTTTTTTTTTTAAATTAAATTTTTGATTTTAGAAATTTAAATATAGTCACCATGCTGTACATTACAGCCCCAGAACTTAAAATTGGAAGTCTTACCTTTGGACCCTCTTCCCCCATTTTGCCCATCCCCACCCACCTCTGGCAACAGCCAAACTATTCTGTGTATCTGTGCATTCAGCTTAGATTCCACATGTGAGATCATACAGTCTTTGCCTGACTTACTTCTCTTAGCATAATACCCTGAAGGTCCATCCATGTGGTTGCAAATGGCAGGATTTCCTTCTTTTTTATTTCATTTTCTTTCTCCATTCCTTTGTTGATGGACACCTGGGTTGTTTCCCTGTCTTGTTTATTGTAAATAATGCTGCAACAAACATAACATTTTTCAATTTTTTTTTAAAGATACGGGAAAAAACAGCAAAATGTGCTGCTAGGAGAGTCAGCAGAGGGGCAGATCAATGATTTGGAGAAAGGCGAACTGCTGGAGTGACCTTGAGGTGTAGATGGGCGTGGGTGCTGGGGGCGGGGTAGATAGGCTGGTGGGGGCTTATGGGAATTCCCTTTAGATCGCTTCAGTTCTTTTTCAAGTGAGGTAGGAAGCAAGCTCATGGCCCTGAGAGGGTGGGGAATAGGTAATTCCCACCCCCCCCTTTTTTTCCCCACATAGCCAATTAACCACTCTCCAGTTGCTTCTGACAATGAAAGTTCACTGTGTCCCTCCCTCGATTCCATTGCTAACCTGGTCAAGCTCAAATCACACAATGTTGTCAATCTCTCAGCCACCAACCTCCTTCTATTAAAGTCTGCTGTGCACACAACTGTTAGCTAAATCTTCCTAAAACACCACTTTCTTTCTGTCAGAGTCCTGCCCCAAACCCTTGCTCAGCTCCCCATTAAAGAGGATGAAGGCCACTTACTCAGTGACGGCATCAGGCCCCTGGCAAACCCCTCTTTGTTCAACAGGACTGTCCATGTCGTGTCACTGTGCCCGAATCAGCACCTTACTGCTGCTGCAGTACCTCTCCTTGCACAACTAGTTCTGTGACCCGAGGGAAGCTACTAGACTTCTTTTCCTCATATGTAAAATGAGGATATCCCGGTACCGGTACCTACCTCTTACAGTTATTTTTAGGGTTTGGTGAGACTATTGCATAAATCATTTAGAATAGTCCCTGGTATAGTGTAAGTGCTGAGTCAACTTCAGCTATTCTTATTCTGATTATCTAAAACCCCTTATCTCTTTCTTCCTAATCAAATCTTCCCCATCCTCTGAGACACAGCCGGCATAACCTTCTCTCCCATGAAGTCTTTCTAGCTCACCCTTCCCTCCTCTGCTGATGGCTCTCCTCCATTTTCCCTCCTCTAGCATGTAAGCAGACACTGCAGATGTGATTTCCGTACGCCAGTGACAGAAGCTTCATCCCTTCAGCTAGCCTCTTACCTGCCCTCTGGTAGCTGCTTCCCTAAAGGCTGCTGTATTAGCAAGACCTCAAATTTTGTAGTAGGTATTCGACCTGTTCAACTTGTTGAAGCAGTCGCTTTCTTTGTTACTCCTTCTAAAGCCTGTGTTTCTTGTTTCTCGTGTGCCTGCTTCATGATCACTTTTTTGCAGCCTAATTCTTGGATGGTCACTTCCTCTCCAGAGACCTTGCGGCAACTCTCTTTCCAGACATTTCTTTTTCAGGATTGTTAGCTTCATACCCACTTACAGCCCCATCTTCCTTTCCTCTGCATCCTGATATTCGAAACTCTTTTCCTTCTCTTGAGAGAGCAGTTGCCCGTCTTCAAGCTTTTATGTTTTGTCCTTTGTCTCTTTCCCAAGGTACCCCTTGTTTGAAGAGGCTGCTGAAAAGGAGATTATTTTAGCTTTTATGATCAGCAAAAAGAAAAAAAAAAGTAGGAGGCTTCATAAGGAAAATTGGCAAGATAAAAATTTTTTTTGCATTTCATAAGAATCAAAAGCTTTGCCCTGGCTGGTTTGCTAAGTGGTTAGAGCATCGGCCTGCAGACCCGTGAGTCTCGGGTTTGATTCCGGTCAAGGGCACATACCTCGGTGTGGTTCCCTCCGGCCCTGGTCGGGTCATGCAGGAGGCAACCAGTTGATGTGGCTCTATCACATCAATGTTTCTCTCTCTCTCTCCCTTCCTCCCTCCCTCCCACTCTATCTAATGATAAGTAGAAAAATATCCTTGGGTGAGGAATAAAAAAATGAAAGAAAAAATAAAAAGAATCAAAAGTTTTCTAAGAACTTTCAAATATACCAAAAAAAAAAAAACCACCCCAAAGAGAAAGAGATCTGAATGTTGAAATACCTACTACATACGTGGGGGCTGTGAATTTAGCAGCTTTGGGACCAAGAACTTTTCTGAATTGGAGTCTTTTGTGACTAGTCAGCTTCCTGCAGCACTTCATCCCCAGCGTTGCTCTTCCTTTTCCTTTCAGAATACAGCCAAGCCAAAGGGCTCCTCTGTGTGCCCGTGGACGTGACTGACACTTTGAGATGTTTTAGAGAGACTTTGGAAAAATCCAAATATCACAACAGATCAAACCGACACAGCAGAAAGTTGCTTTCATTATTTCTTGCACAGACACAAGGTAAAAATACTTTTTCTGTATCCCTTAGTCATTATTTAGGTGGGAATGCCACCCTGCGGGCCTCCTTTCCCCCAGCTCGAAAGCCCACTCACTGCTGCCTTTCACGTTCTCTCTTGCTCACTTGATTCCAGCCACGGCCTGTCTCACTCATCTGCTCTTACGCCTTTTGTGAAGCTACCGTACTCCCTGTGTAAAGCAGATAAGCACACAATATTTGTTAGTTTTTTGACTCTGTACACCTATGTTCTTACTGCTTTCTTTGCAAGTATGGTGCTATGGTGTTGTTTAATTTTTATGAATAGATGAATTGATTCATACTGAATCAACTACATCCTTTTTACCAAAGCATTACTTTAAACATCAATAAGATTTCTTGTTAATATCATAGATTTTTATTTTAGGATATATATATATATATTTTTTTTTACTTTAAAACAAGATTTCACTATCATTGGTTACGTTACATTTATTTGATTTTCTTCATTCTCCACACCTGTCCATTTGTGAACACAGTGGAAGCAGGGCTTTGCGAAGTGGTAACCTCAAAGAAGAGTATAGCAAATTTAGGTTATTAAAAACACTTTAAATCTTAATTTATGTTTATGATTCTTGCTGTTCAAATTTATCAGAATAATAAAAATAAAGAATAAACTTAAAATAGTTATATTGTAAAGTTATTAAAAAGAGATTTAAACTTATATCTAAGATGCTAATATCAACTGAACTTATCTTTTAGAAATATGACCAATTTTTTTACAACCACTCACCAAAGTTTTATATATGTATGCATGCATGCATGTATGTATATATGCATGTATACATGTATGTATGTATTTGCTATCTCCTACAAAAAGCTATGCTATGTACCCACAGTTTTTGGTTGTATTCAAAACTCACATTACATTACATGAGCTCTCCATATCATGGTTAAAGTTCTTTTAATTATGGCATACATTGGCAATGATTAAGGGAATGAATATAAAAAGGAAATAAAATTCCTAAGAATGGTTTATATCAACTCTGTCTCTCACCTGGTATCAAAATGTTCATTTGAAATATTGAAATATGAATCAAATATTCATTTGAATGTGGTGTTGGAGAAGAACTGTGTAAATACCCTGGACCACCAGGAACACAAACAGGAGGCTCCTAAAGTCAATTAAGCCTGCAACATTGCTGGAGGCAAAAAGTAAAAAGGTGTTCCACTTCGAGCACATCAGGAGAAGACAAGGTTCTTTGAAAAAGACAGTAATCTTGGGAAAAAGAGAAGACAGAAAGAAAAGAAGAGACCAAATATGAGATAGATTGACTCCATAAAAGAAGTCATAGGCATGAGTGCACCGGAGCTGAGCAGGGCTGCTGAGGGCAGGACATTGTGGACGTCACTCATTCATAGGCTCCCCAGGAGCAAGCGGCTCAGCAGCATGTAACCACACACCAAAATATCCCCAGAAGTTTATCCCAGTCCTCAGGCTGTAGACTTCGGAGTCCACAATTGCTTTTCTCTCTCTGCAGCTTTTGACCACTTCCCGGAGAATATTTTCCTTTTTTCCTATGTGTTCTCTGATCTTAGAAAGAAATAGCTCTTTCCCATTTTCCCCCCTTGGGTTAGAACTACCTATGTGTTGCTTTTGATCCAGAGGTCTATGCCCCAGATGCAAACTAACATCTTACTCTTGGAAGTTCTTACAAAAGGGCAAACCCAAATAGTGTAATTTCCACCAATCTCCATGAAGAGCATTTACATCCTGGCAAACTGGGAAATGGCCCGAGTATAGCGCCCATCCACACACACCTGTGCTCTCAGAAATTATTCCAGTTACTGAGTTTAAGGAATCAAAGTGCCTCAAACTGCGGCGAGGTCTCGCTTACACCCAAAATCTTTCCTTTCTCCTCCCTTTCCATTTCTACTACCTTTTTCTTCACCATCAACTTCCCTTCTTTTTTCCATTTTAAATTTCTTTTAAAATTTTTTTTCATGACTAGTAGACAGAGGAATAAACAATTCAAAATTCAATACTGGAAAGGTGGAATTTTGCCTGGGGACGGAAGAGATGCACATGCCGACACCCCCTGACCTTTCTCAGGAACACTTCAGAGTCTTTAGTTCAGTGGAGAAAAGCAAACTTCCCTATTCACAACTAGGACTGGTAATGTCTTCATATTACAAAACTATTGGTAAGATTTATTCAATATGTCTTTACAGTCAATATGATCACTTGCATAAATGTTGGAGATTACATTTGGTCCTGCAATATTATTTTTAAAAATAGGATGAAAGAGCTTGAAGTAGAATCTACTCATCAAACCCTCGCAGTCAGTGCCAGCGCCGTGTTGAGGCAAGGTGCTCCCAGCACCTCCCGTTACCCACTTCCCCCAGCCTGGCTGTCACATGGGGAGGTCCTAGGCCACCCTTCTGCCCATCACCTTTAACTGAAACTGTGAACCGCTTGTCAGGAAGTGGCCACTGTCAAGTTCTTTTGCTCTGCCCCGGCTGGTTTCATTTTCTCTGCCTTTCCACTGGACTTGGCTTTTAGAAAGGGCATCACTCCAGCAGTTCCCAAGTTCAGCAGTATATACTCAACCCATGTTGTCCACCCAACATCTCCCTTTTATATAGCAGACACTGTGTAATTCCCCCTCTACGCTCTGGAGTATAATTTATATTCAGTGTATTCTTCCTACATGTATTATTTCCCCTCCAAATCAGTGTGAAGCTCTAAATATACAGTAAGGGATAAAGTCATTTTACAATAAAGGAATCTATTGTTGGTATGTACGTACTCATGCAGCGGAAGGCACAGTGAAGCAATCAGATGCTCCTGTCCTGCTTGTAGGGTCGTCACGGCTCTGAATGCAGAGTTGTTCTGTTGTTGCATCGGTGACACGTCGTATCAGCACTGTTCATTTTGGTGACATAATTTTCTAAAATAGCAAGTAAATCTAGATGAAGTTCTGAACAAAGATGAATACTATAGTGTGTGGTTGCATTTCTGGCAAATCCAGAGCATTTTGAAAACATGCAAATATATCCTTTTTATGTGTAGAATGAAGTTGGATCTTAGACTCAGATAACTGCAGACAGGTTTCTCACCTTTTTCTTCACTGAGGGGGACAGTCCCATGCCTTACAGGCCGTCCAGTGACTTTGGTCTTCACTATGAAATACCAGGAGATGCCCCATGGTGGCAACTAACAAAACCCTTCCTAAGATTTCTAAAATACCTCTGGGGGCAGTAGAAACCATTGCCATGTCAGTGGGTATTTTAGCTATATATCCTTGCGTGCATGCATTCATCAGAGCCCCCTCAACCCCTCCCTCCACCCTCAGTTAAGGTGATATTAAAGATTTTCTTTTTCTGCATTTGGGTAAAAGGAAGAATCTGATATGATGTAATCTTGTCGCATCCCTGCTCAAGGCTTCACATCTTCTATAGAATCGTGTCCACATTTTCCCACAAGGCATTCAGGTGCTGCTGTAATGTTGCCACTACCTTTTTCTTCACCCTCCCAGTAAAACCAGCCGCACACGTCATTTCCACATATGCCCAGCGCTTTCTCCCTTGCGCACCTTTTCTGCATTTCTCTTCTCAACCATTTCTACCTGCCTGACTCGTATTTCACTCTCTCTGTGTTACTCACCTGTGGTTAGACCCGATCCCCCCCACTACGTTCAAATAGAACATCATTGACGCTCTTTCTGTGTATATATTATGTGACATTTGAAGGCACTACTAGCTTGCAGTGTGCTTATGTACACAGCTAAGGCATAATACAGTTTAAAATATTCTCACAAATATAAAGGAAATATTTTTTCAGGAACTGATATTTGTTCTTTTACTTGATTAAAATATAGATGTTCTCCAAGCCAGCAATCAAAGAAGTCTTAAAGTTCAGGCACTGCATCAGCTTGGAAGTCTTCTCATCTTTGCAGGGAAGAAAAGGTAGATTTTTTTTTAGGATTATACAGAACAAGAGAAAACTTTGAAAAAAAATTTTAATTGTGAAAAAATATTATCTTTCATAATTCCTAGTTCTTCAATAATATTACATTGCTACATTTTGTTTATCGAATGCTACCTAGAGAAATGCTTATGCGTACATACTACACAAATAGTATAGATTTTAATTAAAATGTTTCTTCAGCGTATTCACTTTTCCTTTTGGAAAGATTTAAAGATACGGGTCTCTGAGAAGGGACTGCTCAATGCTCTGTTTCTGTTCTAGGGCTGCTTTTAAATGTTGGAGTCAAGCTCTTGATGACATATTCAGAAAACAAGACGTGCTGCAGACATGGACCGAGCTTGGCACCACGCTCACCAGTGCCACCGACAGCTGTTCGCCTCCGCGTTGCAAAGACTACAGTGAGGAGTTTCTGTCCAGAGTCGGCATTTGGGGGTGTTTGCAAGGAGCGGTCATATCGGCAAAGATAGCCCAGTGAGTGTGACGATGGCGTGATCTGCATGATAGCCGACAGCTTCCCTCTGTGGGGAAGCTGAAAAATCCAGGACCAGCTCATCCTGAGGTCCTGAGTGTAATCACATCTACAAGGTCTTTTAAAGTTGTTTTTGTCATGTAAGGTAACATGTTAATAGGTTTTGGGAATTAGGATGTGGCTATCTTAGGATGCAGGGACCATTACCCAGCCTATCACATGTAACATGTGTGAAAGTCTATCACAATGCCTTGTAGCGAGTTAGCACTCACAAATATCTTAAACATTTGATTAATGTGAGAAATTTAGAAAGTTCGGAGGGAGTAGTGCTCATTTAGGCAGCTGTAGACTAGAATCAGAGCGATATGAAGCAGATTAGCACGGCCCTTGTGCAAAAATGACATGTAAATTCTTGAAGCGTCCCACATTTAAAAAAATAGGAGTATGGAGGGGTCGGGGTAGAGGCTCCTTCTCCTCCCCAGTTACGTTGCTGTGGTGTGGTGGGCAAAAATCTGCTTAGTATTTTGAGCTGTAGTGTAAATTAAAAAAAATAATACCTAGTTAATACCACATTGTTTTCAGAAAATTGGCATGCGTGGGCAGGGGAAGTAAGAAGTTACCTAATTAGAAAGTATTGAACAGTAAAGATTTTTAAAAAATTGTCAGCTTTAATTGTTTTGCAGTCCTGGGAAAGAACTCATCCTCACACACATACATGCACACACACATGCGTGCACACACACACATACATACAACCCCTACATAAGTCTGAGCTTATGGCTTAGTAGATCTTGGCAGCAGATAATAGAAAAGTTGAGAAAGGTTCACAGCTTGAGAAAGAACTGCTATAGCATTTATGCATTGGACAGCTCAGCTTCTCTGAGTCCCTGAAGTTGTTAGTTCCTGATTTTCAACCAACAGGAAGTCATTTCCCAATTATGTAGCTGGAAGTCTGACTTCCACAGAATATCTGATGCTACAGAGGCCTTGGCTGTTCTCAGAGATTCCCTGAGGAGAAGAAACTCTTCTCCCCACTGTTCAGAAGGGCAAACACCACACTCGAATATCCACATAGAGAAACTGAACTCAGATAGACATTAGTTAATTAATATAGTTAATATGGTGAAACCGACTGGCTTTATCTAAATAAGACTTAGAAAAAGGTAATGGTTTAGAGCTGCAGATGTGAATTTTAAGACTCACATGAAGAGAAGCTCAAACTCTTACACCAGACTTAAATGAGACAGTGGTAAATTCAGAGACATGACCTTAATCTTTAGTGGAAAGACTTAACAGCATCAATGGGTCCATAATATTCTGCTGGAGAGAAAACACAGTTTCAGTCTTTTGGAGGCAATTATTTAACCATATTCATTACAAACTTTAAAACTGTATACCCCCTTTTCCCAAAATTTCCACTTCTGGGGATTTATCCAGGGGAACTGATATGACAAGTGTTCAAAACTGTAGGTACAACAATGTTTACCTCAGCATTGGAAAACTCAAAGTGGTGATGAATATTTTTATATTATGGTGTATTCATATGATAAAAATATTAAAGCTCTATAAAGTAATGATGTAGCTCATTGCGTCCATGAAGAGAACATATGTTTATAAAGTAATATGTATTGCATAATTCTAGTCTTAATGTATGCATGTATAACTAGAAAAAAGTCTAGAAATTGGCCAAAAGGTTCCCACTAATCACATTAAGGTGATAGGATTATAGGTGATTTTTTTATTTTTATTTTTTCTGTTTCTCAGTGTTCTGGATCTTATATAAGTACATAGCATTTTTAGAATAACAAAGGCTATTTTATTTTTGGAATGTCTTTATTAGAGACGTATTTATATAAAATCATTTTGAAAAATTATCTATGAATCAGCTTCTTTTTCTTATATACTTCTTTAGATTTGCTAAGGTGTCAGACGTTGAGAAGAGATCAAACTGTTGCATTTTGTCTGCATTACTCTTTCAGGTAATACTTCATGTTTGTCTTTCTACTGACCATTCAGTCAGTAAAAAAAAAAAAAAAAGGGCAGTAGTTTATCATATTCATAAAGGTAGAAAAATAGCATGAACGTTGATTAAATATCACAAGCCCATCTTTCCTTCTGTGGCTGAACTTTCACTTTTAGCATCCAGCAGAGTCTGTTTGCTCTTGAGATTACAGAAGAAGTTTTACAGATAAGGAAACTGAGTCTCCTGTTGTTAGTAAGATCAGGTCCTAGTAAGCAGCAAAGTTGGCGTGTTTGACTCCAAACAGGTGTCTTAGATTGCCTCATGTCTAACTAAAGTTTGCTCGATTCCATGATATAAAGTATGCTATGTAATGAAAGCAAGAAATAGGTTGAAGACTACAGAGGTATGTAGAGTGTTTGCAGTTCTTAGGATCTGGGTTTGACTTTAGTAAAGAAGAAAGGAGCTTTTATCTGAAATATAAGACATTTTCAGATTCAGGAATGTTACGAGGCCTTTGCAATGTACTGAAGGTTCTGTTTACTTTGAAGTTGGGCACCCTTGTTCTGTGTATCAGAAGAGTCTGGTATCTTATGAAAGCTGTATAGATGAGATCTTTGGGAAAGATTACGTTTCTCTGAACGTAAGGCCAAACTTTTCAATTCTCTTATGTTCCATTCACCTCTACCTGCCCTTCAAAGGCGAGGAAGGGGAAAAGGCAGGATGCAGAGGGAACAATAATCTGGTTTGGACTCTGCATGTTGCGTCCTTTGCATACTCCACTCCTTGTTCTTGAAAATAATGCAGTTTATGTTTTAGAAAATAAGGACAGTTGACCCTTGAACAACAAGGGAGTTGGGGGCATGCTGACTCCCACACAGTTGAGAATGTATGTGTAACTTTTCACTTCCTCAAAACTTAGTTGCCTCTCAGTATCCGTAGGGGATTGGTTCCAGGATCCCCCACAGATGGTAAAATCTACGGAGGCGCAAGTCCCTATATAAAATAGCATGAATCAGTGCATGTAGTCAGCCCTCTGCACCTGCAGACTCCCAGCTGCGGGCAGAAGACAGCATGGGTATTTATTGAGAACAATCCGTGTGTAAGTGAGCCCGCGCACTTCAAACCCATGTTATTCAAGGGTCAACTGTAATTTAAAAAGATATGTCACTTTTTGCTTAATGTAGACATATTTATTAGTAATACCACACCTAAAATAAAAATTAGGTGGTGGGATTTATTTTAAAAAACCTATTAATTCTTCTTATGATTTTAAAGCAAATTCGTAAAACTAAAAATTTAAACAACTGCCTAGCATTTTAGGGTAGGTACCTTATAATTTTAATGAGCAATCTGATGAAAACTCTTTTTGATATTTACATTAAAATAATTTTAAGTGCATTTGTCGACAAGAAGTTTTAATTTTTTAAGGTAACATAAGCACTCCTAAATGTAAAGTTTGATTTTGTGTATTCATCTGGTTTTCCCACATCTAGTGCAATGTTTGTCATATAATTTAGTTAAGAAATGTTGGTCAAATTAAATAAATCACCTTTTCAATTAATTCAGTTAAAATTTAGAATGACCTCTACCTGATTTCGAATTCTGAAATCAGTTATCTCTTCTACTTATAGGTTGATAGAGTAAAATGAGCATAGTTTTTTAGTTAAATAGATATGACTTTGAATCTTCTTTCTGCCATCATTAGCTGTGCGACCTCAGATAGGCTGTTTAAACCTCAGTTGTATCATTTATGAGATCACAGTCCTGCTAGGGGTTGGTTAAATGAGGATGAAATGAGATAGTATTATAAAGAATTTACCAATACTGCCGAACACAGAATTGTCCCTCAACAAATGATACCATAATATAACGGTAATTTCTTCTGAAAAGTATACAGTTACTGTGGAATTTGAAAGGCAACATCTTGAGTGATGAAAGCATTTGGAAGCTATTATGATGATAATATTACTGAGTCCTGTTTATTACTAGGCATGGGCTAATACATGTACTTATCTTTCTGTGTCATTATTGCAGATGCAATTTATAGCTCTTTGTTTCACCTTTTTTCATTTTCAGGGCTTGCTTAGAACCACACTTCCACATCCCAAAGCTGCACGTTGCTATGCCCAGTATGAAATCACTCAGCTTCTCCCAGGCATCGAGCTCTTCTCGGATACATACCGGGCTGACATTTGCTCTGTAATTGCCAGTCTGTATTATGTTATACGAGAACTGCACTTTGCTAAGCAAAACATAATAGTAAGTAATTAGTAAAAGCAACAAATCTTAATTCACTGTGTTTGTTTGTTTGTTTTTTTTGCCACACTTACCTTATACTTTTCAAAATTTGTTAATGTTTTGGTCAGTTCTTGTTTAACTTTTAAACTCTATATTCATGATCCTTATCTGTACTTCAAAATAAAATATATTAAGTTTCTTTGACATTATTGTTTACGTTGCATTTTGGATCCAAAAGCAATATCTACTTTATTTTGTTCTCTTTTTACTCTATCTTTTTTTTCTTAAGACGTTTGGTGAAATTGATTTGAATGTTTCACTGGTCTCCAACAGAGGAATCTAGTGCACATGTAACTTACCACATTGTTATTCAGATCATATCAATACCAGACCTATGAGACTATTTATTTATTGAGATAAATTTATCTCGGATTGAATCACAACCGAGGTACATGCCCTTGACTGGAATTGAACCTGCAACTCTTTGGTCCCTGGGGCCGACTCTCTAACCGCTGAGCCAAACTGGCCAGGCAAAGACAGATACTTCTTATATCCTAGGAAATTAAAAAATTCCAATACAACTCACTTTTTCTTTGGGGGAAATTAACCAAATTTTTTATTATATAATAAATTTAAGTTGATTGCATTTTTAAAACAAGTATGTTCTAACTGTTGGTCATTTTATATTTTCCTCCTTTATTTTATTTTTCCTATATGCTATTTCCTCTACTTTTGTTTTTCTCCTTTCTCTCTGTTTGCTTCTTAATATATATTCTGTTCCCTTTTTCTGCTTCTTTTCCTTTCTTTCATAATTTTCATACCTATTTTCTTTTTTTTTACATATTGTTTTCTATTCTCTTGTTCTAAGTTTATTCTCTCTCCTTATATTGAAAATATTTATTTCTTTCTGAGTTGTTAAATTATAAAGCCATGTGTTAAGGCATAGAGGTTGATAAATGCATTCATCACTTGGCAGATTTGGCATGAAATTGTTTATTAGAAAAAAATAACAAAATGGTGCTGTATCATTGTTAAGGGGATTCATTTCTGGGTTTAGAAAACAGTTCTATCCCCTGGGTAACCTTTAGCTGCCTAGTCATATTCATATATAATACATATCACTGCACAGGAAAAGAAATGAGACTTTTTTTCTCTGAAGCTTAAGAAATTGAGAACATTTTTCTGAATAATTGAGCAAATGGCAGCAAAAAATGTTGTGTTTTTATTTCTCACCAAAGAAAAGAAAATCTCAAAGGTAATAGCCAACTTGTTGTTTGATGATGTATTAATTATAGAAAAAAGGTATTTTTGTTGTGTGTAGTGCATAATTGTAGAAAAACATATTGTCTAATGTTTGAAACATTTAAGATCAGTTCTAATCCTTTTTAAAGCTGTTGCTAATAGCAGCTGCCCTTTGACTGACAGTGTCTTCTTAGCTGAACTTGCAGAATGTAAATAGTTTCCATTTTGTGTTACACTACCCTCCAGCCTGCTGTCACATTATAAAATTTGCTCTGGGACCCATTGTGGTGGAATCATGGGAAATAGTTTGCTAATTAATGGGAATTCCAATCCTCCTCCTTGTTTTCCATCTCCTTTTAGTGGAGCAGGACCCAAGTTGTAGGAACCAAGCTTCAGTGTTGAATTGAGATCAGGAGGAGCTGTTCAGAAGTCTAGGCAAAATGGTCCCCCAACACCTGTCTGGCTGCAGTGGCTAGCTCAGTTGAAATGTTGGGAGCTTCCATGTACATCCGTGAGAGTTCAAGAAGAATTGAACTTTGGGGTTAATTCTAGAAACATAAAAACGTGTGAAGAGTAAGCTTGGGTTTTCATCGTGGACTCTCTGCTCTGTGAAGGCAATGACATGTTAGGTTTTTTTTCTCATTCAACAGTACCTGATACACAATAGACATAGTATAAGTATTATTTTTTTCTGATAGAGATATTCTCATTGAAGAAAAATAGCAGCTGACATTGAGATGAATAAGTAAGAACTATCTGAGAACATGGATGTGAGTTCCTTCGCTTTATATTTTGTATTTATTTGATAGCCATTTGCTAGAATGTTTCCACAGGCCTCAGTGATTCATCATATATGTTGAATTAATTTTTCAGGGAAGATAATTAACTGCATGTCACCCTTTAAAAAGATGTGAAACCTAGGGTTTGCATACCAACTGGAACTCTAAGTCCCTGACAGCACTTTAGAGTTCTGATAAAATTATGACGCATATGTGAGGCAGAACATTTTACTTACACCAAACAGTATAGTCTCCTGGCATAGGAAAATCAATAACTATTTTACATAACATTTCCTACATAATTAGGCTACATTTTATTATAGGGTTATTAACTCGATAAACTATGTTTTGTTTTTCTGTTGGTAGATTCTGCCTCTCCTTGCATTGTACCAGTATTTTGTTTCTGGAATTTGCCAAGACTTGGTCAGAAATCTAGAAGTAAGAATCCTCAAGGTGTGTTACAAGTTTTTAAGACATCTGATATTCTTGAACTGTTATAAGATATGGTCATAAATTAATTTGGGTCTAATACTCAAAATAATAAACTGATAATAATAGGATGTACTGATATTAAAAAGATTTGCCCATCCTTATAACAAAGTATGAGAAAGAGCCAGTTAGAAAGGTTTAGATCATTTCATGCTTGGGCCTAGTAAAGTGAGGAACAGCTACACCTGTTCATCCAACACCTGTCAGTAAGGAGGCTCATCCAACACCTGTCAGTCTGGAAATCACCACTTCGGAAAGATTGGTGTACTGGACGACTGGGGACTAACGAGTCAGTTTTCTGCAGTTTCTGTCCATTTTCTTCTGTAAGGATCTGTATGTATATTATGGTGTACAAAATTTTTAATTGCACATAAAATTGAAGTGCAAAACACACAGGCACTAAATTACAACGAACTGTGGAACCTAGGAATCGGCTGAGGGTCTCTGTCTTCCAGATTCATGTGCAGTTGGCTTGAACCCCACGTGGAGTGGGAACCTCTAGCACCTTATTCTCTCTGCTTTTTTTTCTGGTCGCCTACAGTCACAGGCTACTACTTCTGTTGAATTTGTTCTGTACGTGGATCATGTCAACATTCAGCAGATTTGCAGATTTGCTCCCTGTTCTACTCCCTTGTCTCTAATATGAAATTCAACCCTATTTCCTATGACACACACACACACACACACACACACACACACCACATTCACCTAGGGCCATTATTTATATATTGGACTTGACTGAAAATTGGGAATACAAGAAAACAAGATGAAGCAAAACAAACAATTTAAAACAGAATATTTGGCATCTCTGAGCTTAAATTATTTCTTGGCCAACATCTCATGCTTTTGCCTCCCTGCCCAGTTGTGTGATGGTAAATGTTTCACAACTCACTCTAAAAAACAGCCCTGATCTGTGGCATTGAAATGTCCATGGTGTAAGTACTCTCACTATTGCTGACTTCAGCCTGTCTGTTGGGCATTACTGACTGTGGAGTTGGGACAAGATGTGCACGATCAGCCCTTGCAGTTGGGAGTGAGTGGGCTCCAACATGCTCCTGGCTTAACCCTCCTTCTCCTTTGGAAATGCCTTCTACCTTCCTTCCCAAATCCTGCCTCATTTCTAATGAGGGCAAATTAGAGTTCCCTTGAAACTGTTCTCTCCATCTAGACCTTGCCCATGGGCCTATGTTTTCATACCCAAATAATCCATCACATTCTGTTTCTAAATAAAGACAATGCCTTCCCTAAGAGAAATTCTGGTGCTGACTAGTAGGATAATAGATTTTAACATTGGAATAAATAATTTATCAGCTGTGATAATTTCTAGATCGCCATTACTGAGTTATTGAACTCTTAAGAGTTCTGCTTTTGGGTTTCAATAACACACACACACACACACACACACCTTTTCTCTCTCTCTCTCTCTAAAAAAACAGTGCTCTCTTCAAAATTGCCAAATTATTGAAGGGCCTGTATTTATTCATCTTTTAGTCCTACATAATGTCTTGAGTAATAAATTTATATACTTGATATTCAGTAATTAATTATTGAATTGAACATAATATCTATAGATGTTTATCAAGTGCCTACTATCTACACCTAGAAGATACTTGGTAAATATTTATTGTTTTACCTCTGAGACAACATTTATTGAATATCTCTTGTATAAAAGTACCATGTTGTTAATAACTCTAATCAAAGAAATATAATCCCATGGTCCTTGCTTATAGGGATGTGAAAACAGGGAAGAGACAGGACATGTACACAAAACAGTAATGTGTGCACCTTCCACTTGACCATTTCCAAATGCATGTGATGAGCACTGTCTCCAGGAGTTTGGAAGAGGGGAAAATGGCTTTGGGACTTTATGTTTCACAAAGTAGATATGATTTAGGCTTGAAAAAAGTAGACCTAACCAAGCAGGAAAGAAGACAAAAGGAACGTCTGGGCAGACAATCACGTGGAAGGCAGAGAGCTGAGAAAGTTTCGCCTTGTTAGTGGGGAGTGGTGGGCAGTGGACTGCAGTGAGGTTTTGAGCAGGGAGGCTGAAGGAGATGACATGAGGATACCAGAGGTCACACAGACATGATGTAGAGGCTGAGCAACAGGAGAAGTGAGGAGACTGTGGCTGACTTTTGTTCTGGTCTGTGATAAGGCCAGCGTGGAAGCATTGCAGTGACCAATAGTAACATGTCAGAAGGAGGTGCAGAGAGGCACTGAACACAGTTTTTGGTTATGTGACTATTTTTTATTGGCTTGTTAACTTGACAGGACACTGGACAACTGCTTTGTACTAGAGTAATTTAAAAGCCAGTGAAGAACTGTGGACTCCGTTCTGAAGCCTTGAGTTGGGAGGGGGAGTTAATTAGAGAATTTTGATCAGGAGAGGATGTGATCAGATGTATCTGGGAACAGTGTCCAGAGCGGGGAAGAAGGAAGTTGGATCCTGTCGGCATAGTGGGACTGGGAAACCTGACCAGGGTTTGAACAGAAGCAATGACAAAGGGCAACCAGCGCTCCCACAGAGGAAAGGAAAGACAGCCTGTGTGCCCAGAGTACACCGGGGTCAGCGAGTGGGAAGAGAGAAAATGGCACACAGTGCTGCTTTTTGACGGATCAAACAGCAGTAGGTCACGCTGTTAAGTTTCTGCAGTGCACTAGTGTCTTCCAGGGAAGGCTTTAAGACCTCTTTACGATCAACTGGTCTGGCTTCACTTTAGAACTGCCAGCATCTTGAAAGATTTTTTACTCTCAATATACCCAACATTCGTGGAAAGGGTATTGTTAGTTGTATATCTGTGTGAGTGAAGGGTTGATTTATGGGTAGTTTTTTTTTTTCCATTTGGCTTGTTTGTGTTCACAGTGTTGGTCATTTCTGAAAATACTTGTCCATTTTTATCACCATTGCTTTTTCAAGTGGTCTGACAGGTAGTCCATGTACAGCAATCTGACAGTCCAGACCAGAGAAGAGTACACTCACACAGATATGAGGAAATGTTTCCTCCAAGGACAATGAGAAAAATGTTCATCTAGAAGTCTGAAAGAACTCACGTGACTCCCTAATACCTACTTTGATATTCTCTGGCGCTGCAGAGATTAGAGCCCAAGCTGTCTGGGCAAGAACCAAAGTATGTAACTCAATAGACAAGAAGTTTTCTCCATTAAAAATATTCTTCTGACCTTTTATGTTTTATGTTCATATTATTGTCACATCTTATTTCCCCGAACTTACCTTCTTTTTAATTTTTTAAAAGTTATACACTCTTGAGATTCTTAAGACTGTGCTAGGTGTTTCCAAAGCATAAGTCAGGTTAGGGCCCTGCCCTGTTCAAAGTCTCCTATAACTTCTCTCCCCCCCCCCCCCCCTTATTGATTTTAGCGAGAGAGGTAGTGAGAGGGAGAGAGAGATAGAAACATTGATGAGGGAGAACATTGATTGGCTGCCTCCTGCATGCTCCCCACTGGGGATTGGGCCCACAACCTGGGCATGTGTCCTGACCGAGGATTGAACTGGTGACCTCAACCTCTTGCTGCGTGGGCTGACACTCAAGCACTGAGCCACACCAGCTGGACTCCTATAACTTTTTATCACCAAGAAAATAAAATCCCAAATCCCATCTCTGGTGTGCAGGCCACGTTCACACCTGTCTCCTAATCCTCTGTCCCTCTCTCCCTAAGCTCCTGCCACGCAGGCTCCTTGAGCACACCAAGACTACAGACTGCTCCTGCTGCCACCGTATGACCTTTGTCCTCAGGGTCCCTTCAGCAGATTTTCATTGTCTTTCTCTGTCACATCATTCCCAGATCTTCTCTCAAAGGTCTTTTCAGAGATTTTCTTGACCACAGTTTTGAAAAGAGCATTTTTGTCAGTACCCTCAATCCCTTCTCATACTGTATATATCTTTATGTATCATTTAAATTTAGCTAAGTATACATCCTGATGGAATATAAACTCCAAGAGGGCTTGATGTATAAGAGATGCTCAATAAACATACTAAGTGAATGAATTAATTTGATCAATAACTTTTCCTTCTTATAATTTCCTGATGGAAAGTTCTGCTGCATTATATTTAAAATAAGCCATGTACAATGTATAGTTACTAATTAATTAATGTTGTTAAGTATATGTCTTTAAAATCAACAGTGCCCAAAAATTATGGATAAGGAGATGAGTAGTTGTCTCTATGCTGTGGTGCTCATCTCCTGGTTTGTTTGATTCTCCTCAGAGTGTTAGAGAACATCAGGAGTGTTTTTGTTTCATTTTTCTTTTAAACCATAGTTCACCATGGGACCATAAAGATAAATTCAGTTATTTTTTAACTCTTTCATGCTTATTATGTTTTTATGTGTTTGTCTTTAATGAAGTAGCCACATTTGATAAACATCCATTGTTTTGAATAGTCTCCTACTGTTGTTCATTAGCTTCTTGGTCTATTGCTCATGTAACCTGGCTCCCATACAAACACGTGCATCTCCATCACCCATGTCTACTAAACAGTGATTCTAACACATTGCTAACATTAAGGACACATTTTGAATCTCAGTTGATGATTTTTTTCTCTAAAGTTTTCATTTTATAAGTAGAACAAATGGTTTAATTTAAAAATCTCATTTTTTTCTTTCCTTTAAAGATTGAAGTCCTTATCGATTTAAGATTCTTTTCCGAAGCCTTTCATGAAATGTTCCAGATTTTTTATGGAAGAAACATGCCTTCCTTAATACCTGCTGGCTCTAAATCTACTACAAGAGTGAAGGTAAACCTGTCAATTTGATTCAAAACATTTCTTTACCTCTGGAAAGCTACATTCCTAGAATTCAGGGAATGCTTCCACAAAGGTGTATTTACAAGTCTCTGGTGCTGCAGACCTCTTTGTTAAGCCTGGCTATAGTTTCATTTGCCTAGAATGGAAGGGTGTCCTGGGGGCAGGGAGCTAGGTCTTGGAGTAGATTTTTACAATGAAATTCTGGCTCTATATCGTAGTTATCATGGATGGTCTCAGTAGACACATCTATCAGCCACTTCCTCTTAGACATTTGGGTCTAATTTGATAATTTCTGGTTGATGTTCTTAGAACAGTTTCTCCTCGTGGTTTTTTTTGGATGTTTTTGACTTATATACTTTATACCAAAGAGTTAAGCTTGTGTTTTTCAAATTTCTTCTGATTTCTGTGAGGAGAGGACATTCCTCTATTTTGTCTACTCTTTTTTGACTTTGGGAAATTGTTTTGCCTGGCTTGTTTATTTGTAAATCAGATCATTGAGGCATCCTTAAAAATGCATACAAGTGTTTATATTTAAATCAGAGTGAACTATTATTTTCCTCTGCTTTAGTTTTATGTTGATCTGGGGATCACTATGTGATCTTGTTTTAGGGAGGAGATGCTTGGACTCTTGTGGGCCAGCAATAAAGAAAATAGAAAGAGGTAACAAGTCAGTTTCCCAGAGGGAGCTGTTCGTGTAAGGAGTAAGACTGATAGATATGTGCAGGTGGGATTCGAATTTGGAGGGCCTAAAAGAACCTGGGGAATAGGCTGTAAGTCTTGAAAATTACTTGCTTAAGCTGACATTATATTTATATACAATAAATTCATTACTTCAGCATGTTCTCCTAAAATGCATCTTCTTATTTCTCAATCTGACTGCTATAGCATTATAATTTACTGTGATAGGGTGTGAGGTTATCTACAGAAAATCCTGAGGGATGTTCAGTAGGCAATAGAATACGAGTGCGCATGCATGTATTTATCTTTTGAGGAATCAGTTGGGTTTTGTTCATTTTCTGCAGCATGAATTAATTCAGTCTCTTACCTCAGTAAAATTAGCAGTGTTTTCTTGCTTGCTTCTCAGTCAATAGCCTTTTCCTATTATAAATAGTTTATATTTTGTTATTAAAATCATATTTTAATTTATTTAAATATTTATCGAGAGCTTACTGAATACAGACACTATTGCAGGCATGAGAATAGAGCAGTAAAAAGATAAACAGAGTTACAGCCTTCCTGGAGGCATATTACTCAGATAGTGCAGTGAGGAAGACAAGCAATGGACATATTAAGCACATAAATATATGTCAGGTGGTGAAGTGCTGTGAGGACAGGCAAGCTGAGTTAGGAGGACAGAGTGTCTGGCAGGTGGCTGTTTTATTGAGGGTGGTTTGGGAAGTCTCTCTAACTCTAATAAAGGACTTTTGAGTGTGAAAGATTTGAAAGAAGAGTCTTCCAAAAAGGAGGAGCTACAAGGCAAAGGCCCTGAGGAGATGCCTGCAGGACGTGGTTGAGGAAAACCAAGAAGGCGGGTGAGGCTGGAACAGAGAGGAAGAGAAGGTGGGGGTATGCAGGAGCTCGATCCCAGGACCTCCCAGGGCTTGGTCAGGACGGGAGTTTACTCAAAATGAGGTGGAAACCTTGCAGATCTTTGAACAGAGAAATGATGGAATAGGAATTAAATTCCACTTTGCTTGCTGTTTGGGGACGAGACTGTGGATGGGCATGGGTATAAATAGGGAGACCAGTTAGAAAGCTTTTGCAAATCATCTGAGCGAGGTGTGGTAACGGTGGTGGAAGGAGTGAAAGTGGTCCGATTCTGGGTATTGCAATGGGAGCTGACAGCATTTGCGGATGATGGCTTGGGCGTGGGATGTAAGAGACAGGAATCAAGCATGACTTCAGAGTGTTCAACGTGACCAACTGGTAGGAAGAAGTTTTTAAGAACTGAGATAGGGAATACTGCTCCGGCAGGGATGGAACACGTTAAGCATGAGATCCTGACTAGACGTACAGGTGGAGATGTGTCAGTAGGTGTCCAGTGTATATGATCTGGAATTCAGGGGAGAGGTTGGGGCTTCGGGTAAATTTGGGAGTATTAGCATAGAGATTTGCAATCATGGGACAGGATAAAATTTGGGAGTATTAGCATAGAGATTTGCAATCATGGGACAGGATAAAATCAGCTGGAGACCGAGGCAGATGAAAAAAGTAGGAGTCAGAGAAGTGACCCTTAGAGTCATCCACATTTTGAATCCAAGAAGAGGTGGAGAGAGAAGCCAGATGGGTAGAATGAGAAACAAGAGAGAGTTTGAATGGTCACTGCTTTTTTTTTAATCCTCACCCGAGGACATTTTTGCATTTATCTTCAGATAGAGCGGGAGGGAAAGAGGGAGGAAGGGAAAGAGAGAAACATCAATGTGAGAGAGACACATCCAGTGGTTACCACCCACACGACCCCAACCAGGGCCAGGGAAAAACTGCACCTGAGGTATATGCCCCTAGCAGGAACCAAACCCTGGACTCTCTGGTCCACGGGCTGACACTCTAACCGCTGAGCCAAACCGGCCAGGTCACTGCTTTTACCAAAACAAACAAATAGATAATCTGAAGCCAATTTTGACAGGTACATTCCAAACTTCATTTTTATCAACTAGTTGTCATAGGCAAAAGTGTGAGTACACTGTCTCCCAGTGGAATGTGACCTCAAATTTTGTATTTTCAAAGTTAATCTGCAGCTTTACAGCTTCAACTTAGAATTTCGAAAATGTGATTAAAAGAGGAAATGTGTTAGGGTTTATAATTAAAATAGGTACCAATGTTATTGGGCTGCAGGCTAGTTATTTAAAGAGAGAATTCATTAATTAGATTTCAGTTGTAAAAGGAAGTACAGTAGGTCCTCTCTTAAAGTCATCCATAGGTCCTTGGAAATTGTGACTTTAACTGCAATGATGTAGCATGAAACCAATTTTATTGTAAAATTTCTGGTCACAAAAACAAACATCACCAAAATTTTAAATAAAGATACAAAACACTTCTAATAGTGATCATTAAAATAAATGTGAGCTATACATACATATAAGAAAGATTAATTAAAAATAAGTAAGATAATGGTTTTTCAACTCACTTAATCCAGGTAAGGGTCATGGGTAGCCGGAGCCTATGCCTGCAGCTCAGGGTGCCAAGTGGTAACCCACCCTGGACAGGACGCCCTTCCACACAGGGTGCACTCACACACCCATGTTCACCCAGACTGAGACAATTTAGACATGCCAGTTAACCCAACGTGCATGTTTTTGGGATGTGGAAGGAACCCAGTCCCCAGAGAAAACCTGCACAGACATAGGGAGAATGTGCATACTCTACACAGATAGTAGTCCCGGCTGGGGATCAGTTTCTTTTTCTCATCAATATTATAGTGAAACAACGTTCAATGAAACGACGTTATTTGAGGACCTGCCATGTCTGAAAAAGTCTTACAGATTATTATTGGACTTTTTACAGTCTTTTAAAAATTAAATCTTTTAACATTATACTCATTGAGATTCTCTTCTCATCACCAAATCTAAAGTCCCATCAACTCTCTTCAAATTATATCACCAAAGATCTCCCCCTGGATTCGCTCACTCATTTTTCTGTGCATTATAGGAGATAAAGAATATTTTCAAAAAAGGAAAACAATTTTAAACACTGCCAACACTTTCTTTCAATAAGAGCTATATGTGATGTCTTGGTTTAGGGGTCCAGCAAAAGCATCCTAAGACAAATATTTGAGAGCAGATATAATAGTATACTTGGGAGGTGGTTCCAGAAAGAATGGTGAGTGAATGAGAAAGTCTGATAGGAAGGAAGGAAAAGCATTCCATGAGGAATCACTGAGGTCACTGCTGTGGGCAATTGGGACCCTCCGAGAGACCGGCTAGAATAATCTCTGTCCCTCGTTGGGACTGGATGCTCCCGGCACTGCCGGCCACCAAATGCCCGCAGACAAAGAGGCACAGGTGAAGTAGGTTACCTTCCATATGTGAGCTGCTTGTGCACAGAAGCTGCTGGTGACTTCCAGGTGACCAAGGGGGTCTGAGCAGAACATCAGCATTGACGTGTACAACGGGCGCTTTTTATAAAGGGCCCTCTGTACCCAGAGAAATGCACCCTGCACAGTGTCACAACAATCTCCCGTGGCAAATAAATTGAAGATTTCCTAATGCAACATTATATCTAGAACCCAACATGTTAACAGGTAAGTCACTAAAAAATGACAAGAGTCATTCTGAAGAGTAATACAATTTTACCTCTAATGGGCCAAAATATTTTTAAGTGCTAATACTCAATGCTGTTAAAAGTGTAGTAATCCTGGCATTTTCATACAACATGGGGAGAAGTATACATTAAACCAGTTCCTTTCAGTTTTCTCAATATATTTTTATCTCATGAGCCTGTAATTCTGCTTCTGGGGATCTATCCAAAGGTGTTAATCGGAAATACAGACAAAAAAGTCACCGATGATATTTAAATAGAGCTGCATGGTGGGGTAAGGGTGGGAGGTGGTCTCCTTCCCCTTAGATGTCTAACAATAGGAAAGAGGTTATTATGCTACATTCATAGGATAGAATGTTGCCTAGCTAATAGACTAACGTTTAAAAATAATTTAATGGTGTGGGAAAATAATTATGATATATGTTTAGGGAAAAGGAATACAGGGAAAAGGAATACAGATTCTTTTAAAATACATCAAAAAGAAAAATACCAAAATATTAACAACCTAAAAAAGTGTTTATCTGTGATTTTTACTTTCTTCTTTCTACTATTCTTGTCTTTTCTGACTAGAGCATGTAGTACTTCTACAATAAAAAATGATATTTAAAATGTTTAGAACACATTAACAGTGTTATTTAAAAGAACACTCAATATTCATTCTAATGTTAACATTTTATATGTTGACAGGCATTTCAATCATTTGATTCAGGAAAACCTCTTACTAGCAAAGAAAATTTACAGGTAAGGATAACCATATAGCCGTCCCTCGTTTATCTCTGTTAATCCGTTCCAGACTCTAGCAGTTGCATTTGGCGTTGAAGGATTCCCAGGGTGCTCGAATACATAGACCTACAGTCCATACATACAATAATTTTAATTTTAATTGTAATACAGGGTTGTATAATTGACTCAGACAACTGAGCGCGCTGTATCATTTTCACCGTCTCAATCACGAAGCACGAAGTGGTGAGGGACAACTGTAGTGTATAAACACTGGATATGTACTGTGGACAATTTTTTATTCATTTCAATCTGTTGGTAGCTATAATCTTGGTGTTTTGAAAATCTTCTGTGTAATATGCTCTTCTGTTTCTGAAAATTCTGAGGCCAGGTGTAAAATTGGACCCCAAATGATCTGGTTTTCAGATTGGGCCAATATCACTACTGCTCCTAAATTTTTCAATTACACATGTATTCAGTTTGTTTACTAGCCATGTCAGGTATCCAACTTTGATATTGGTTTTCATTACCTATACAATAATGGCCGACTTTGACGTAAGAAAAAGATTTTGTATATTTTGCGATAGCCCACTTGCTCAATCCTGCTTTTACTCATATCCTTTTCCCCATACTGAGACCGCCTCTCAGCCAACGGTCTGGAAGGTTTTGTTTTCTTCCTTTGTTAAAAAAAAAAATTATTGAGATATAATAGACATGTCACATTGTGTAAGTTAATGTGTACAACGTGTTATTTTGATACATTTATATATTGCAATATGATTACCACCATAGAGATAGCAGCAGTTTTTTTTTTTTACAACGAGAGGGCTAGACTGCCCATCTCAATACATTTGTTCTTGTCAATAATTGAATGATTGGGATTTAAGCTTTGGTGACCTAGTAGCATTTAAATAACTTGAAATCATTATTTTTAAAGATCTCAGGACTACCGGCAGTCTGTCCACTAGAAAGAGCTAGAGCACAGGAGCGGTAACCATTGTTAAAAGAATTTATGGATGGGTAAGGGGCTCTTATATCCAGGGGACAGTTCACGTATACATACAGATCTATACATAACTTCATTTTTTTAAGTGATAGGAAACAATATTCTGTTTTATTAAGTAAGGTATTTATTTTTATTAATTTTCTTCAAAATTGCTTTAGTATTGTTCATTTTATTCCACAAACTTTACATAATTATGCTTCAGATGAGTCATTGTTTTTGCCTTAAAGTTTATTTTAATTTATAAGCAAGTTGTCTGAAATGAGAGAGTTGGTACTAGAAAGATACAAATACATATTCATATTTCATTTTAGTGTTCCAAAATCTTGGATATTTTAAGAATATTTATTTATTTCTAGTCATAAATGCCAAAGCATCCTAAAAACACTTCTTTAAAAAGTGGTTTGGGGTCTAAAAGGAATGTCTGCCTGATCTTTTTTTTTTTTTAAAACAAAAAGACTGGCAGTATAATGGAAAGCTGATTTCTATTAACTAATTAATTAAAACAGAACTGTTTGTCTGCTTCAGACTCTTCAGATTACACTTTACTTTTTTTTATAGTGAGAGAAAGGAGTGTTAAATAGCATTTCTAATTAATCTCTTTTGAGTCTCAAGTGTTTGTGTGTAATTGTCAAGACTCATTAAATCACTGCTGCAGAGAGAAAAGGGAAGAGAAAACTCCTCTCCCCCTACTCCCAACCAATCCAACTCTTTCTTCTAGATCCAGAATATCAACCATTATCCTAGTGCAACAGTCTGTTACCAGCTCAGGCTCAGTGCTGCTCCCAGTCTGGCTTCTGTGTGTGCTCATGTCCACCTTTCAGAAGAGGTTGAGGAAGGAGAATGAACAATAGCAACAGACCTCCCTGCTGCCAACATAGACTCAGACTTACCCCAGCAGTGAGATTTTTCTTTTTTTAGTTCACATAAAGCAAATACTTTCCCTCTTTTCTAGAGTAGATAGCCTCAGCATCTGCATTTTATATTAATTCAACAAATATTTAATAAGAGCCTATTGTACACAAGGCGCTACTTTGGTACTATCAAATCAATGCATCAACCAACAATACAGACAAACTCCAAGCCCTCAGGACACTTACATGTTAGTGGGAAAGACTAGTAATAAACATATAGGGAGCATTATAAATAAGTAAATCATATAGTATATTAGAAGGTGAACCATGCTATGGGGGGAAATTAACCCAGCAGTGTGTAAAAGGGATTGAAAGCCTGGAGCTAGGTTGGGATTGTAATTTTAAATGGTGCAATCAGGTTAATCTTCACTGAGGTGACATTTGTGAACAGACTTGAATCAAGTAAAGATACAAGTCATATGAAATATGGAGAAAGAGTAATCGAGGAAGGGGGTACAGTGAGTGCAAAGGCCCTGGGGCAGGATTGCCTAGGTTGGTGAGAAACATCTTGGCCAGTGTTACTAGAATTGTGTGAATGATGGGAGAGCAGTGGGAGATGAGGTCAGAGAGGTATCAGGGTACTAGTTTGAAAAGGGCCTGGTAGGGCCTTTGTAATTTAGGTTCTTACTCTGAACAAAATGAGGAGCCACTGGAGGGTTTAAAACAGAGGTGTGACCTGATCTATTTATGTTTTAAAGTATCGCTTTAGCTAATCTGTTGAGCCTACTGTTTAATTCATACTGTTCTTGTGCTGTCAATCCAACACATCAGTCAATCAACAATACAAATTCCAAGCCTTCACAGAGTTTTTATTTGATTGTGTGTGTGTGTGGGGGGGGGGGGGGTGCGAGGGGGAGGCTAGGAATACCATTTTGGACATGTTCAGTTTGAGATGTGTCTTAGACATTCAAATGAAGGTATAGAGTCAGAAGTTGATTATATGTGTTTTGAGTTCAGAAGAGAGATTGGAGCTGGAGAGAAAAACATTTATTTCATCAGAATTTAGATGAAATTAAAACCATGATCCCAATTAAGATCATCTAAAGTGAGGGAGGGAGGAGACAGAAGTCCTGAGACACTCCAGTATTAAGAGATATAAGAGATAAGGAGGAACCCACAAGGAAGACTGGCCAATAGGATAGGAAAGAAATCAAGGAATTGTACTGGTTTGAAAGCTAAGAGAAGCATTTTCAGAAGAGGGAATGATTAATAGTGTCAAATTTTGCTGATGAATCAAGCACTATAATTTACTGATTCGTAAACATGCTATTTTTTTCGCATTTAACATCTCTGAAATTAGAATGAATTTTGCAGTTGAGGCCATGTGACAGTTTAATTGGCATAGGAGACAATGTATTATAGATCAGCAATTTTCAAACTTTTTCACCTTATGGCACACATAAACCAATTACTAAAATTCTGCAGCATACCAAAAAAATATTTTTTGCAATCTGGCAAAAAATAAATAGGTATAATTTTGATTCATTCACTCTGACGGCTATTGTGTTGGCTGTTGTCATAATTTATTTGAAAATCAAAGGGAAAAGAGGTCAGTGCCCTTGACTAAATAGTCAAGTATTGCATCTTTTAAAAATTCTTATGGCACACGAGTGTGCCTGCCACGGCACATCAGTAGAAAAATCGCTGTCTTAGATTATAAGTAATATGACATATGAGGACTAAGCATTGAACACTAGATGTAGTCAAGTATAGGCCATTGATGACGTTGACCAAAGGGTTTTAATGAAGGGAAGGAGTGGGTTTATAAGCAAATGAAAGGAGAGCAATTAAATATTGACAACTCTTTAGGTCGTGCTGTACAGAGGAGCAAGAATTAGGGGAGTAGCTGGAGAGAAAGTCAGGATATAGGCTTTTTGCTTTTTGAGATGAAGAAGCAGGAGTGTGTGGCGATGGGAATGTTGCTGTGGAAAGGCTGATATTTATGATAGTTATAAGTAGACCAGCTGGGACAGGTTCGATGGCCTGAGTGGCAGGAAGGCAGGCAGAGTGGTGGGGCAGATGCTTGGGTAGGTTGGAGAGATGGTGGAGCTGTGGGGTCTGTGGACACTACTTTGACTGATTCAATTTTCTCAGTTAAGTAGAGGAACCAAGATCATTAGCTGGGAGGGACACTGGGGAGGAAGAGTCAAAATTTAGAAAAAAGAAAAATGTGAAAATAGTTGTCTGGGAGAGAGTGAGAATGAATGGACTGGGGAAATGGAGAATGATGACCAGACAGCACTTAAAGTGGGACCACTGATCCTGATTGCATGACTTCCCCCCAGCCTTCTTCAGCTGCAGAGTGCATGCCCCAAGAAGGTTCCACAGTGGCTTTTACCAGGGCAGTGATTTTGCCAAGGAAGTGCACATGCACAGGATGGGGGCCAGGGAGGTACAGGTATACATAAGGTGGAGTTCTCATGACTGAGAGCCGATCTAAGCTGGGTAGGGAGCTTGATTGTCCACCCATTCTTCCCTTTTCTGTCCTCGTAGCTCTGATGTGCTCACACTAAAGCAGAGCGGCCAGCATGCATGGCTAATGAGCTTTTGCAGTTTCTCCATTTTGTAGGTGTCTCCTCCCTTGTACTTAGCCTCTCATTATGTGTCAGGGCTGTGCTCATGAGCCACAGGTCACAAATTGGTGGCGAACCTCAGAGGCACTGTGGCTGCTGGGTGGTTCTGACATCATATGTTTCTCTCGATCGACTGTTATCTCTGTATTCTTTCGCCCAAAAACAAATGAGGAATGCACAAGGGAATGAAGCTAATACTGTCTAAAAACAATATTTTACTTATTTGCCTTTAAAATTATTTTTTCCCATTTTTTAGGCACTTGATGAATTAATAAATAAAGGCTTGCCTCAAATTCTGCTTACAATTGGGCATCAACATCTCTTAAATAAGTTTTCTTTTGTTAAAGCATACTTTTTAATAAGTATGGCTGAAACAATAAATTGTGTCCCAGAGACTATGTTAAGAACAGTCTACTTTGGACATGGTTCTGAGAGGAGCAGAGCAAACCTCTCCAGCTTGAAAGGTAATCTTTTCTTTTGTTTGCTTGCTTTTTTTTCCTCCTCACTTTTTCCAACAACACCCCTCTCCACCCCAGTAATCCCTAAGAACAATTCAGTATCTATTGTTCCATATTTTCTCTAAGCTTACTAATGACACACATATATGCTTATTTTTAGGTACATGCATATCCATATTCATTCATATTTCTCCATATCCATACATTTTACACACACACACACACACACACACACACACACACACACACACGATCGTCTTATTGAGATACTGTAAATATCTGGAAGATCCAAAATACTTTGAGGACCTTAAAGGGTTTTGGAATTCCAGGAGAGGACCCAAGAGCTGATCACTTTAATAACATCACTAAGCATCCAAGAGATCCTCCCAGGATTGCCTGGCTTACTGTAAGAATCAACCTCAGTCTTCCAGTATATGATGTCTAGAGACTATTTGGTTTGGTAATATATTTCTAATGATTGTGGGATTTTCTTTTTTTTTTTATCCTCACCCGAGGACATTTTTCCATTTTTTGTACAGACAGAGTGGGAGGGAGAGAGAGGAAGAGAGAGAGAGGGAAACATCGATGTGAAAGGGACACATCGAGTGGCTGCCACCCGCACGACCAACCAGGGCCGGGGACAAACTGCAACCGAGGTACATGCCCTTAGCGGGAACCGAACCCAGGTCTCTCCGGACCGCAGGTGGACGCTCTAACCGCTGAGCCAAACTGGCCAGGGCGATTGTGGGGTTTTCAATACTGAATTTATGGATAGTGTCCCAACTGATTCTGAGTTTTATTAACTAGAATTGATATTTAAACTAACCACAGATATTCTTGTTTCTTTCAAATTTTGTGTCCTATAGAACTATGTTTGAAGGATAATGGAAGTACATTAAGTTATGTTAGAAAAGTGAAAGATGAATCCACTCTTAATACAATAAAGGTAAGTTTAAAAATGTTTTCAAATCATAGTAAATCAGTTACCAAGATGCCCACGATTCGGCCATGGACAGGCCCACTTTCTGGGCTGTGCTGGCTGTTAGGAGACCAGGTAGTTTTCTCGCATAAACCTGGGTTGGGGTAAGATGAATTGTCCCCATGAGAAAGGTCAGATACCCAGATGTGTCAGACTTTGACTGTACAACCTGATTAAGTGCTGCAGAATATATGATTCTTTTTTGATAGGATCTGAGTATTCCATACTCTGTTCCTTATTTCCTAATAATAATAGATGACAACAGCATTGATTTATTCAGTGCTTACCACATGACAGGCACTTTGCATGATTATTTTCACAGCTCTGTGATGTAGGTATAAATCATTTTTGAACTATGTTGTGCTGAACCATGAGAAAATTGAGGCTTAGTTAGAAATTCACTAACATTATGCAACTAGTAAAATACAGATCATGTTCTTATCATACAGATTGGCCTAGAACTTTCATACTATTTACTGCTCTGTACAAACAAGATTTGAGAAGCCGGTTCCTTGCAAGATTGGTTGGTTCCTTCCTGTTTTGCTATGTCAGGTTGCTATTAACTATTGACTGCCCACTGTGAAATCTCATTATCTTCACCTTACCAGTCCAGTGACCACGGTTTAACTTGAAATGCTGAGTTTTTATTATTCACAAATTCACTATTTGCTAATTTGCCAATGTTAAAATTTATTTGTAACCCCAAGTCAATAGTTACGGCTCTTCTGTGGTCATTTGTGGACATGGACAGAGCATAGAAAAATGCTCTGTGTGTGCCCAGCACACACATTCCTGCTGGGTCGGACATGGCAGTGCTCTGAGAGTTTGTTTCCATTCTCATACTGTAAACAAATGTCCTTTTCATGGTCTTTTTATTGCCACAGTTTAAAAAAAATTTTGTGCTTTTTTTATTGCTGATTTTATTATTTAAAATGATCCCCCACTCTAGTGCTAAAGTGCTGTTTAGTGTTGTAATTGCAAGAGGGTGGTGATGTGCCTTATAGAGAAAATACGTGTGTTGAGTTTCAGTCAGGCATTAGTTAGAGAGCTATTGGCTGTGAGTTCAAGGTTAGTGAATCTATAATATATAAATAATGTGTCTTTAAACAAATACATTTTGAACAAGGGTACGTATTGATCAGTTGTCAAAAATATAACTAGAGGCTCCCACAAACCTATACATTCCCGTCTTTCTTCTAGGAGTAGTGGTTTTCATTACTTGCTAATTCAGTGTTTGCAGCAACTTGATTGAACATAACTACTGTAAATAAGTTTGTATGAGCATTGGCTGTGTCCACAACCAGTGCTAATTGTTGGACATGCTCACTCTTGCCATTACTCGCCTCTTCATTCTCTGTTGCCTTGTGCTGTTCACTGATGTTAATGTTCAGATTTCCTTTTTGGTCTTCCATTTGGTGTTACTTTTCAGTACAAAAAATATTTGATGAATAAAAGCGAGATATTTGTATTACTTCTGAACTTATCGTGTGGTCTTTTTTTCTTAGTCAGTCTTACTGACAGAAGCTGAAAACAGGCTAAACTCCCTTGTATCAGAGACGGAGCAGTCAGGCTGTAAGAACCTCACTCGGTGTTCTGTGGGCCAGTTGGAGATCGTGGTGGAGGCCAGGCTTCAGCTGGCTGCAGTTGCCCTGCAGAGACACCGGGCAGCATACAGGCGAGTCTCTCTATGCGTAGAAGAGTTTCTGCCTCATCAGAATTTGTTAAATACGCCTAAATTTGATCAATTCCTAGATTAATAGAGCCTACTTATTTTTTATCATTCAAGGGGGTTTTAATACATTATCATTCTTAAAAGTACAGATTTAAAGTTTTTTTTTTTAATCCTAACTTTCTTGATTAGACTGAAATTCTATGCATTCAACTCCATGCATTAGATTCAGAAAATGGAAGGGGAGCTAATTTTTAGATGGCCATTCTCTTCAGAAAAGAGAAGGCCCTAGCTGGTGTGGCTCAGTCGGTCGGAGTGCCCTTCCATACACTGAAGGGTCGCAGGGCCACCGAAGGGTTCAATCCCAGATCAGGGCCCACATCTGGGTTGCAGGTTCAGTCCTGGTTGGGGCTTGTGTGGGATGCAACCAATTGATATTTCTCTCTCTCTCAAATCAATGACCATGTTCCGGGGTGAAGATTAAAAAATAATAATGAAGCAGAAGCCCAACTGCAGCTTTTTCAAAGAGGCAATCAATTCAGCACAAATCCCTTTTTGCTTTGATTGGAAACATAGAATCATCTCATCAGTATGAGCCTTGACTGAAGGCCATTCCATGATTAACCACATCTAAATTTGATTTTTTTTTTTTTTTTTTGCTAGAGACAGTCTAGGTTTTTAGAAATTTATATTTTTGTGGTTTCTAAGCAGTGATGAATATTCATAAAGTCTGCTTGGAGCAGTGGTTCTCAAAGTGTGGTCTGCACATCCCTAAGGGTGTGTAAGGTTAAACTGTTTTTATAATAAAACCAAGATGTGATTGGCCTTCCTGTGTTGCTGTTTGCATTGATGCTGTAAAACTTTTGGCATCGAGCTGCTAGTCAAGCCATGGCCATACTCGTAGTCGTGACATACTCCGCTGCCACACACTTGCTTAAATAAAAAAATGCCAGTTTCACTTAAGAATGCCTTTCATGAAGCAGCAGAATCTGTTTCATTTATAAGTCTCTATCTTTGAACCCATTTTTAATATTCTGTGGGAATATTAAGTGGGAAATACACCTAAAGTACTTTTATTGTACATGATAGTGATCTTGAGAAAGCACTTACGCCATTGAACTGAGAGCCGAACAAGCTTTTTTGTTTTTTTTTTTTTTACGCAATACCATGTTTATTTGAAAAGCACCTGCAAAATATGGTTATTCATACTTGAATATTTGCCAGGTATTTTATTGAGAATGAGCAAAACGGACATGCCACTTCTAGGAAAGCAACTAATAGTATTTGTTACCAGTCATAACACATAACTATTTATGGGAAAACTAGAAATTTGGAAAATTTGCATTTGCTACCATGAGCTTGACAGTTTTCTAATGCTTAGATTTTTCTGATGAGATTGGGAGTAATATTAACAAGCATCATTTTTTAAATTGTGTAACAAAATGTTTCAACATGAATGGGATCTGCATAACTCAGGAAGCTGATATTTTCCAAATGACCAGTACATGATGTTCCAATATCCTGGTTAACAAAATAGAACAGCGATTTTCAACCCTTTTCATCTCAGCACACATAAACTAATTCCTAGAATCCTGCAGTACATTAAAAAATACATCTTTTCCAATCTGGCAAAAAAATAGGTATAATTTTGATTGATTTTTCAAAAATAAAAAAGTAATTACCTACCTTTTTGCTTCAAAGTGACCTTTTTAAAAATCCAGGAACACCCCTAGACACCCTCCTATACTTATATATAAAGTTTTTTGGTATCAAGAATTAACCAATCAGCCCTGGCCAGTTTGGCTCAGCAGTTGAGCGTCGGCCTGTGGACCAGAGAGTCCTAGGTTCGGTTCCTGCTAGGGGCACGTACCACAAAAAATAACAACAAAAAAAACCAATCAGACACAACCTTATTATGTGACATGATCAATAAAATACAACTCAATTAAGACCAATATACTTACAGTTCAAGACAGGGCAATCACACCAGACAGCTGTTGTAATAGCTGTTGTGTTGGCTGTTGTCATTTTTTATTTGACAGTCTAAGGGAAAAGAGGTCAGTGCTCCTGACTAAATAGTCAGGTATTGCATTTTTTGAAATCCCTGCTGCACACCAGTAGAAAATCGCTGAGATAGACAAATAGGTCTCAATATAAAGGAGTAGGAAAAGTTCATCAGTGTGTGGTATTAGTTTCTAAATTGCAACAAACTTTTTTTTTTCATCCTCATTCAAGGACATTTATTCATTTATCCTCAAAGAGAGTGGGGAGGAGAAAGGAAGGGAGGGGGAGAGAGAGAGAGAGACATCGACGTGAGAGAGACACATTGAATGGTTGCCACCCAAAAGATCCCAACCGAAGCCGGGCACAAACTGCAATTGAAGTACGTGCCCTTAGTGGGAACCGATCCCGGGTTCTAACCGCTGAGCAAAACCGGCCAGGACAATTGCAACAAACTTTTTTTTTTTTATCCTCACCCGAGGGCATTTTTCCATTTTTTGTTCAGGTAGAGTGGGAGGGAGAGAGAGGAACAGAGAGAGAGAGAGAAACATCGATGTGAAAGGAACACACCGAGTGGCTGCCACCCGCATGACCCACCAGGGCCGGGGACAAACTGCAACCAAGGTACATGCCCTTAGCGGGAACCGAACCTGGGTCTCTCAGGACCGCAGGCTGACACTCTAACCGCTGAGCCAAACCGGCCAGGGCTGCAACAAACTTTTAAGAAACTATTACTTGTCACATTTTGGTGCAGTATCAAAGAATAATTTTCACAATTGTTTGAAGAAGCTATTAAAGCACTCCCTCCATTTCCAACAACTATATGTGTGAGGCCTAGTCTTCATACACTTCAGCCAAAATAGTATGTCACAACAGATTGAATGCAGAAGCAGATATGAAAGTCTTCTATTAAGTAGATTATTCTCTTAAGCAACCCCCCCCCCCCCAAAAAAAAAAAATCAGTGGCTTCTTCTCACTAATTTTCTTGATGTTTTGGAAAATATAGTTGTTTTTCTTTCCTTTTTTGTTTTTAATCCTCACCTGAGGATATGGTTTTATTAATTTAGAGGAGGTGGGAGGGAGAGAGAGAGAGAGAAACATCACTGTGAGAGAGGGATATCAATCAGTTGCTGCCTATAAGTGTCCTGCCTGGGGATGGAATGTGTCCTGACCGGAAATTGCACCCGCAAGTTGGTGCATGGGACAACGCTCCAACCATCTGAGCCAACCAGCCAGGGCAGTTTTTTTTTTTTTTTTTCATTAAAATGCATTAGCATGTAATTAGCTTATTGTTTTTATTTTAAAACAAATTGATAAATACTCATAAAGTTAAAAAATTTCCAGCTTAAGTTCTATTATGGTAAATTTTTTTTTTTTTTTTTTTTTATCCTCACCCGAGGACATTTTTCCATTTTTTGTTCAGGTAGAGTGGGAGGGAGAGAGAGGAAGAGAGAGAGAGAGAGAGAGAAACATCGATGTGAAAGGGACACATCGAGTGGCTGCCACCCTCATGATATTATGGTAAATATTGATGGAGCTCTTTTGGGGTTCTCAATAATTTTTAAGGGTATGAATGAGTGCTGAGATTTTTTCAAAGCTTGGGAATTACTAGTTTAGTGTATTGTTAGTTGATTTATGGTAAAGTAGGCTTAGCATAATAATATTCTACTTTCTTCATTGAAATTTGAAGAGAAAAGGAACTTTTGCTATGATTTTGGATAGAAAATACATGATGTGAACACATCTAAATATGTGTATTTTGACATTTATGACAATAAAATAGATGACTGTACGAGTCCCTACGGAAGAATACAGAAAGTACCAAACTCTTTTCTGCAGCCGAGCCCCTCCCAGCAGCAGCCTTCATTCTGTCCGCAGCTCGGCACATGTCTTACTCCCTTCTGGGATGGGGGACAGGAGTGAGGGTTTTTGTTTTGTTTTGTTTTTTTTGAAGAAGGAAGCTAGAAACTAAAAATTACAAAATGGCCACTGAAAGGAATGTTATATTAGAATTTTAATTTGAAGACCAGATAGACCTATGCAAATAATGTGCAGGTGTATCAGCATCACTCCTATTTTAAATACACCAACCTGGCCCTTGGGACAAAACCTGCAAAAACTTTCATATTGTTGCCTTTTTGCCGCAGAGTTGTCATGTGGGGAAGCCTACTGTCACGATGAATGAGTTTCTCTTAGGTGAACGTGACCCCCGCGAGTTTCTGTTTGGGAGCTGCGGAAAGTGTTGGACAGTCACTTTCCCAGGTGACGGTTAGCTTGACATTTCATGATACTTCTAATAACATTATGTCAGGGAAATCGAAAGGCACATTCCTTAGGGTGACAGGTAAAGTGAGCTGCATGGGTTTTAGGAGAACAAACTGACCATTTTTGTCACAAAGAGTAATAAGAAATAAACGGGATCAAAGTTATTCAGACTTTATTTCTACTTGTTTAGGGCTGCCTCTCTCAGAATCCTGTCTTTTTTTTTTTTTTAATAAGTGTTCCTTTCTCTTCTTCTTTCTGTTTAATTTATTGTCTAACTGGGATAACATCTGAGCACCTGAGCCTTTTAATTTTGTGTCTTCCTTCTTTGGGATTTTAGACTGTTTATAGTGGTAATCCTCCCACACTTTCTCAAGTGGAGACGAGAAACTAGACATTTCCATTTTGCAACTAAGTATTACCCGGTGGATTAGTACATACTAGTATGTTTATATTTTATTCATTAAGTTTTGGGGTTAGCAAGATTCCAAACCTCATGCTCATTTCTCTTGAAATCAAAATTTGGGCTTCAGAATCAGAAGGAGGGATGAGCACCACTCCCCCACCCCCAGGTAGCTGTCCGTGCTAGCCTCTGAGGCTACCCAGTAAACAGTGTGCCACAGAAATGTGTATGCATCCTTGTGGGAGGAAGGGTGCTGGGGAGAGGAATTTTCATACCTTTATACGTAATGAATCAGTGTTACATTTTTTTGTTGTTGTTCTCTTGCTTGTTTGTTTAGTTTTACTTTAAATAAAAAACCAGTAGAATTATATAATTAGAAACAATACCTTAGTCTACAAATATCTATATCATCTATACCAAATATCTATACATTTTAATGACACAGTAGAATTTGGGGAAGTTAAAATTCAATAACTGCACAAAGTTTTTCTTTCTGGTTAACAACTTAGGAAAAAAATCAGTTTAGTTTCCCCTCTCTCCCCATTGCTCCTCGCCAACTCAATGTACTGATCATGGTAACAGCTAGCATGCCCCGAGTGCCATCTGTCTGCCCCCCACTTCTGCTTTCTAAGCACACCCCACTCTCACTACAATGTCAGTTCCTTGAGGTCCGGGACTGTACACATGGACCTTAGATTTGTTCCTGGCCCATATATTTTTAAATGTGTTTTTTATTGATTTTTTAGAAAGAGGAAGGGAGAGAGAGATAGAAACATCGATATGTGAGAGAAACATCGATAGGCTGCCTCCTGTACTCCCCGCCCCCCCCCCCCCCCCCCCGCTGGGGTCGAGCCTGCAACCTGAGCATGTGCCCTGACCGGCAATTGAACAGGGACCTCTCAGTCCATGTGACGGCATTCAGACCACTGAGCCCCACCGGCTGGGCTCAACGCATGTTTTGTTGTTTGTTTGTTTTTTAACACATAGAAGAATAAATATCTCATTGAATCCTTACAGTGATCCCATGTTAATACTCTGGGAGCCTCCAAGCAGAGACTCTACCTTCTCCGAAGCAGGCATGGACAGTGGCAAAGCTGACCATGTACTAGGCCCGAAACCACAGTAACTGACCCAAATGAGGGAGTGAACTGACCAGAGTCCAGGGACATGGGAGGCCCCTGGAATGAGTACGGGGGAGGGGGGGGTAGTGTCGTGATCTGATTTCTGTCTTGATGAGATTGCTGTGGCTGCTGTCTGGAGACCAGGATGCAGAGGCAAGAGACACAGCAGGAAGGCTTGTCAGGAGGCTTGGGTGTCGTCCAGCCTGGAGACGACGATGGCTGCGACACAGGCGTTAGTAGTAGAGGAGGTGAGGCGAGGAGCTGCTGCTGGTGTCCGTGTTTCCAGGTCGAAGCTGACAGAACTTGTGGATGGACTGAACACAGTGTGGTGATTCCGGGCTCTGCCTGCGGGATGGAGAACAGGCTTCGGAGCAGGAGCAGGAGCAGGAGGCAAGGGGAGCTGCTTTTAGTCTGTTCCGTCCGTTACCCAGGGCTGCCAGCACACGGTGCCAAAGACTGGCGACTTAAAGCAGTAGAACTGTATTACTTCACCGTTCTGGAGGCTGGAAGTCCAAAATTAAGGTGTCAGCAGGGCCATGCTCTTTCCGACAGTTCTCGGTGGGAGATTCCTGCCTTGCTCTTTCCGGTTTCTGGCGTTTGCCAACAGCCCTTGGCATTCCTTGGCTGGTGGTGCATCGCTGCAGGCACATGGCCGTCTTCTCCCTGGGTATCTTCACATGGTCTTCCCTCTGTGGATGTTTGTCTCTGTCCAATTTTCCCTTGTTGTAGGTACACCAGTCAAATTAGAATAGGGTCCACCCTAATGGCCTCATTTTAACTTGATTTTCTCAGATAACTATTCTGAGGTACTAAGGTTTAGGATGTCAACATACCTTTTTGGCGGGGCACAATTCAACCTATAACACCTGTGAAAGGTGATGGCCGATTCACTATTCAAGTGGGAAATTAGATAGGTGGGCATGTTGTCCATTTGGCTTTCATCCCATCTTTCCATGTTATAAATAACACTGTGATAAGCATCTTCAGGTATATAGATTGTTCTGTATTTGGGATAGATTTGCAACAGAAGAAGCCTCCTGATATATATTATCTAAATATTTTGAAAAAGTGTGATGTCAGTTATAAATTTATTATTCTGCAGGGGACAAGGATGTAATGGTCTAAAGTGGCCAATATATGTATAGAGTGACCAGGTAATAATAAGAATTTTTATTTCCTGGCTTCTATTTTCTTAATTTAGTACATTTCTCTTCTGGCTAGACACTGATTAAGCAATAATTTAGCTTAAGAGTTTCTAAGCATATAGCATTGAATAACAAACTATAACCTCAAAAAGCTGGAGGACCACATTCTGATTTATATAAAATGCGTATGTGCCCATTTTATTAGTGATATTGTCAATGCATTTTGTTTTAAATCTTGGAAACTTTTATTTATTTATTCTTGTTTTTACTCACTTTCATTTAAAAATATTTTTCAGTTTCTGTTATGTCCCAGACACTCGATGATGGGTTTCATCCGGGATTAAGACACATTAGCTGTAGAGCAATTTACAAGCAATTAAATAGTGTGATAAATACTACCACATGGCTAAGACTGGCTACTATTAGGGTACATACAAGGGGCACCTAACAGTTTTGGGGAGGAATGGGGGAGTTGGAAGGTTTTTCGGAGGAAGTAACATACAAATGCCACAAGTGCAATACTAATAATATTTAAAATATATTCTCTTTTTCAGTGCTGCAATAGTATTTTCCACACTTAAACTTCTCCAGGATTCAAAACTTTTTAAAAAGAAGGTAGTACAAGATGAGACAGAGAGTTCCCTCTCTGTAACAACCTCTGTATGTATGAATTTAATGCTTTTCCTTATAATAACTGTTAGCATACTATAAAATTGTCTAATCAATTAGTTAAATAAAGCAAAGGGATAAAGTAGAAAAAAACATTTGAATTCAGAGCATAAAGATCTGTGTTTAAACCCTGTTTATGCAATTTATTAACTGGTATACCTTGGGCAAGTTCCTTAAATTAAAAAAAAATTAAATTTATATCTCATTTATGAACTAACAGAATTGGATGTAATAATCACCAAAGTCACACCAAATGTATCGGTACAGAATTATGGATCTGATTTCATTAGCCAATGAAGCTGTTTCCCTTTATTTTGCACTGCACCTTACTTCTCAGCTGTGACTTGAGCATTACTGGTGTGACACGTGTGCTGTTCTCTACTTTGGTTGCGTCCTTCCACATTTAATCTCTCAAATATCTTTGACAACTGATGTTGCAAATTCTTTGAAATTTTATTGGATTTTTGATAAGATCAAGTAATTTAATAACATAGCATTGTTTGAAATAGAAAGATTCATCACATGGCATCTTTGCTCAATAGTTTAAACTTTACTAATAAAATTGCTAATATCCACTGTCATTACAGATAAGTAACACTAATTGTCCTAAATAGAGCCTCATTTCTCACTATATTAAAGGTAATAAAAATTCTGAAAAGCAATCTAATTCGGAACATTGACTTAGAGAAATGATTGTTACTTGGGGGCTGTTTTGCTGCCCTGGGAGACATTTGGCAATGTCAGCAGACATCTTGGTTGTCACAACTAGAGGGGATGCTACAGGCATGTAGTAGGTAGAGGTCAGCGACATTACTCCACATACCATAATGCACAGGACAGTTTCCCACAACAGTTACCTGCCACACAATGTCAGTAGAGTCAAGGCTGAGAAACCCTGATTTAGATAGTGACGGCTTTTCAATAGTAACAGGAAACGTAGGCACTGAGAGATTAAGGTAGGTAGATGGGCACGTTTTCTGTGTTGCTAATCTAAATACTAGACTCCTCCATTACTTGTGCCCATTGTAGTCACCATCCTGACTCTTGTTCACTTTTTTTTTTCTTTAATCCTCACTCGAGGACATTTTTGCATTTATCTTCAGATAGAGTGGGAGGGAGAGAGAGAGAAAAACATCCATGTGAGAGAGACACATTGACTGGTTGCCACCCACGTGACCCCAACCGGGGCTGGGGACAAATTGCAACTGAGGTACATGCCCTTAGCAGGAACCGAACCTGGGACTCTCTGGTCTGCGGGCTGACGCTCTAACTGCTGATCCACACTGGCCAGGGCCTCTGTTCACTTCTTACTGTTTCCAGGAACAGCTCACCCTCCTCTTCTGTGTGTCTCACCTGTCTAACCAGATTCCAGCCCCCTTCAAGTCCCCACAGCTGCTCCTTGACAGCAGGTGTTGTTAATTAGTGGGTGATGATGAGCTGTGTGCAAAGCAGGGAATTCCTAGAATAGATGGGCATGGTCTAAATGACTTTGAAGTTCCTAAGTTTCTAAATAAGATTGATTCCTGCCACTCCCTGGAAAAAATTATCTTTGCACCTCCTGCCTAGTAGCTCTGGACATCGACCACCCTTTGTAAAGTGTAATAATAAGGGTAGTAGATACCTTATAATATATGTTTGGGATGTGAGCAGAATAGAGAAATGTAACACAAGGGGCTGTGGGCTCTGAATTCAGAAAGACACAAATTTGAATCCCACCTGTGCCAAAATATGATGGAATTTAAGCAAATAGATAATTTTTCTAGGTCTTAGGACTCCCATTAGTAAAACAGAAATAATATCTCCTCTTGGGCTGGTCAGGAGGATTAAATGAGATAATGTGTATAAAGCCTGTATCACAGAGCCTGACACATGATGAGCACTCAATAAATATTAGCCAGTATTATTTGTTATTATTCAGTCTTTCAGATGTTTACAAAATTTTTCAAGACATGGAAACTGCTGATAATATAATTTGCAATGAAAAAGTCAAACTGCAAAACTATTTTCAACAATGGACATAAAGAAAAAAAGAAATTACACCAAAATATTAACAAAGGATTGTGGGATTATGGGTGCTTTTATTTATTTGGTGTGTGTGTGTGTTTATGTTTTATAGAATGTACAAGACCAATTTCTAAAATTAAAATTGTAATACTATTAAATGATATCAGATGATTTTTTAAACTGATATTACATTTAGCATTAGGCTAGAACTTTGACATTAAATATGAAGATAACCATAATTTTAATATTGTTTAGGGCTCTGAAAATAAAGATGATAATGAATTTTTAGATCCTGTTTCCTTAAATTCTCGAGAATATTTCAACATTCATCTGTGGTTGAGGTGCTGCTTGGCATTGGTGACTGCATTTGTTGCACAGATTCGGGGCATTGGAATCGTGAAAGGTACAAATATCCTATTTTCTTAAGCAAAGTTTTTGTAAAAAGTGTTTTTATGTAGGTAGCAGAGGTTTTATTGAGATATATTTTATTAACATTAACATTTTATAACTCTGTACCTTAATTCAGGTTATTACATGAAAAATAATCCTTTTCAACAGTCCTTTGTATCACTGAACATAGCATATATGTTACTGATGCATGCAAAGCAGGCAAGGAGGTGTCGGAATACTAGCACATGGGTCTTCTTGTCACCTAGAAAGGCAGCATTGTGTAAGGGGTCTGGAGCAGACTCTGGAGCCAACTGCTGTGGGTTTAAATGCTGGTTGAAATTAAATAGGTTACAGTTATAAAGTTCATAGATCACAGGCTGGCACATGCAAATGTTAGTTCTTACAGTGATTAATAATTATATACTTGTAAACCTATTTATCCAACCATCTCTATCAATCTCCCAAATTTAATTGTTTCATGCAATATTATTATCACTTTTGCAGCATTTGGATACTCTAAAATACCTCTCCCCAAATTGCAACACATTTATTTTCAGTATTTCATGTAGTCTCTTTGTTTTCTCTCTTTGTATCTTCCTGTTAGTCTGTATTACCCAATATTCCTGTGATGAACGTTGGGCATATTATGCATATATACTGTCTTACTTTCTCAGTGCATTTCAAATAACGACATTTGTTTTTTTTAGAAAGTGATATGACAGATTATGTTAGCCTCATCAATGAAATGTGTGTGGAGGCAAAAAGTGCAGGAGACAGGGAGCTACAGGCTGAATTCTTGATGCAAGCTGTAATCATTGGCCTACAAGAAAAGCATTTAAAGGCAGACATCATAACAAACCTTCAGGTAAGAGGGAACCTTCATTCACATTGATATTTACCAAAGGATTCAGTTTAGAACAAAAGGAGAGAATTTTAGATTCCATCTGGTACCGAATGTGTAACAGTCAATGTGGACAGCTTTTGTTTCAGTGAATTGCAAACAGTACATCAAAAGGAATACTTTTGTTTTAATAGGCCATAGTACATTTGCTTGAAGGGAACGAGTTTATTTCTCCTCGGTCTCATTTAACCCTGGTGAGAAGCTTGCTTCTGCTGGATGACTTAACAAAGGCAGCGAAATTCAAGGAAACTCCCTCTTCAAAAACAGAAAAATTAAGTTTGTTGATTCAGTCTCACAACATTCTTATTGAACAGGTGAGAGTGCTTTTGTGTCTGAAGATTTAGAAACGTATATTCTGTTTTCTGTGGGTTGTTTTCCTTATTCCAACCAACTTTAGTGAATTGCTCATTACAGTGTTTCTTTTACAGATGCTAACTTTTGGAGAAACAATTGAATCTCTTTCATCAAACACTGACTATGCAAGTCCATTACAGCCTTTGAAAAATGTCTACCTTCCTCATGTCATGTTATTGGCCAAAACAAAAATGAGAATTGGTAAGAACACTTAAACATATATTATACTCAAGTTGTTGATAAAAATTTTTTAGTTATTTTCAGGCATACTATTATATGGGTACATTTATATGGGGCACTATTTATGAATACCCAGGCTCAATTTATTTTATTTTTAAATGTTTTTTCTTTATTGATTTTAGAGGGAGAGAATGGGAGAGAGAGAGAGAGAAACATCGATGAGAGAGAATATCAATTGGCCACCGCCTGCATGCCATCCACTGGGGATTTGGCCCACAACCTGGGCATATGCCCTGACCAGGAATCAAACCAGAGACCTCTTGGTATATGGGTCAGTGCTCAACCACTGAGCCACATTGGCCAGGCCCAGACTCAATTTATGTAACAAATAGTTTTTGATCATTTAATGCATGCCAGACCCTGTGTGAGGACCTGGGAAGTTATTTTATACTAAAACAGATGTAATTCCTGATCTTAGTGTGGGAGACAGAAATGAACAAGTAAACAAACCATGTAGGAGTGCATATTATATCGCATATCATATTATAAATATTGTATAACATAAATATTTTAACATATGCAGAATTTAATAAAATAAGTATTGTATTAAATAAAATGTATTTGATACAATCAACAGGGATTTAGAAAGTTAATATATGATAATGAATTAAGTATATGTATGTAATTATGAATTGTTAATATTATGAAAAATGTGGATAAGATCTGTTGATAAAGAATAAGGGAGAGACGACTGCCTGTTTACATAGAGTACATGGGGAAGGCCTCTCCACGGACGTGGTGTGTAACCCCAGGCCTTAGATGTGAGTCACTAAGTACGCATTGTAGAGGCAGCAGGAGCAGTGAGTGTGGGCTCTCAGGTCAGGACAAGCTTGACATGTTCTGGAACTGCGAGGAGACAAGAACAGCCAGAGCAGAGTGGGCGCAGGACAGCTTAATGGGAACAGCTGAGCTGGGATGGTTTAAGTTTTAAAATATTACCCTGGCTGCTGGGCAAAGAATAATTCAGAGGGTAGACTGGAGCCAACCAAGAGCGCACCTGATTAGAGCAGCTGGACCAGGAAGCAGAAAGCTTACAGCTCTTCAGAAACCTAGGAAGATTGCTTCTAGCTTTCTCCAGACCCAAGGGTGCCTGCCTTTAGCTCCCAGGCTCTTGACCAGCTCAGAGGACAGAGACTCTTTTACCAACTTTCTATTCTGACCTGTATTTCACCAGGCCTTTTTGTTTTCTGTAATTTTGATGCCTTGACATCTGGCACCTTAATGTCTAGGTAGAAATTTCCTCTCCCAGAATTAGCCAACTCCTAAAGAGTAGCAAACCACTCTCCACTGAACATGCCTTTGATATGCAAACTAATCATTCCAGAACCTACAACCCAAACCTTTATCAGCTCCTTTCTCATTCTTTACAGTACTCTGGGCCACTACTCTCCTACCCTAATCACCCAGGCACAGCTTTCAGACTACTACCAGAGCCCAGTAAAGATTTAAACTAGCCAACCCTAACCCTGCTGAGTCTGCTTACCCTACCCTACCCAGTCCTTCCCATGAGAACCATCACAAAGGCTCTTGTCCAGTTTCCCCTTGCTCCTTGCACCTCCTGACCAACCCTGGCGCTTCCCTTGTGGCCCTGCCTGGCGTGCTGTGCCTCTTCTTTTGGGAACTGCAATAAACTATTTTTTCAATGACAATCATTTCCTAACCTGTTTACCTCATCATACCTGAATAAGAGTAAACTCTACATTTTAAAACGTTACCCCTGCCTCCTAGGACCTATTTGCCTCCTGTGCATGCTGGTGCTCAGCTCAGAAGTTGATGGGTGGACTAGAATGGGGAAGGGGGCAACAGAGGTATGCTCAAGTCATCACCTGTCCGGAACCTTTTCCCTTATTCCCCTTCTGTTCCTCCCTCTCATGACCATTACTGATCATTATTATTATATGATTGATGATCATCACCATCATCATCAGATATGAATTTTATCACTTTAGATAAATTGCTTCACTTTTATATTGTTGAGTTTCCTTATCTATAAATTTAGGCTGGCCTAACTGACTTCTAGTATTCCTTCCAGCAGTCTGATCCCATGAGAGCCATTTTGCTATATTTTTAGTGCACAATTTGTTATATTATCAGTATATTTGATATCTACAAGAGCTTAAAGTACAGATTGTGCTAACCGGTGCAGATTTTGTTCCGCCAAGTGTATTCGCTGCTCTCTTGCCTGAGAAGCCTCAAAGATGGGCCACTACTCAGTAGCAATGCTGGTTCTGTTCCTTAGACTCACTTGAAGCGGAGCAGCTTGCTTTCTGCTGTATTATATTAAACACAGACTTTAAAAACAAAACCAAAAGCAGCTTTTCTGTCAAAACAATGTCAGTTTCACAACCCCCCTCCACAGAGTTGATGTTTATTGGAAAAAGGAACACTTCAATATTATGAAGCATAATATCATCTGACTTAATGCTTTCTCAACAGTTTTCTTGTGTAGTGATAGCACAGATTGCATCGCAAGAATAGAGACACTTAAAAATTGTTTTCCTGTGAAAGCCTCCCACAGAAAAAGGCATTTTGAAATTATTTTTATAAAACAAAAAATAAGCATCATGGTTATTTATTTTCCATTAAAGACTGCACCTTGAGCTTTCTTTTTAGATACAAAAAAAATCAATTACTGATTTTTTCAATAGGAGGGAGAAAGTTGCAAGAATGATGCTGGGGAGCGGGACTGTGCGGGGAGCCAGGCCAGTCACCACCTGCCCTCAGAGCGCCTATTATCCAGTCACAGAGAAAGAAAGAGAACAGTCAGTCATTTCTATACAGTGTCTTCCTGATTTTAACAAAAATCTAGGAGACAATTTACTGTTATTATATATTAGTCCTATTTTATGTAGTACTATATTATATGTGGTAGATATAGCATATATAGTACATCTATTTAAGCGCCTTGATGACATGAAAATACTTGCTATTTTTTCTCATATGAATGATCAGTGTTATGGTATAATTTTTTTTTTTTTATCCTCACCTGAGGATATTTTTCCACTTTTTGTACAGATAGAGTGGGAGGGAGAGAGAGGAAGGGAGAGAGAGAGAGAAACATCGACGTGAAAGGGACACATCGAGTGGCTGCCACCCACATGACCAACCAGGGCCAGGGACAAACTGCAGCCAAGGTACGTGCCCTTAGTGGGAACCGAACCCGGGTCTCTCCAGACGGCAGGCCGACGCTCTAACCGCTGAGCCAAACCGGCCAGGGCTGTTATGGTATAATTTGAAACAATAGTGAAACCTATAAAAATGGGAGATGTGTGGAAATATGAGGTTGTTTTGGACAAATACTATTTACATATCCTTCTTGCCCGCAATCTCTCATCACACTTGGTAATTGTTGGGGTTGAGTATAGATAGATGACTCTAGCCCTGGCTGGTTTGGCTCAACAGTTGGAGCGTCAGCCTGCATGCAGTCCAGAGAGTCCCGGGTTCGGTTCCCAAAGGGCATGTACCTCAGTTGCAGTTTGCCCTCGGCCCCAGTTGGGGTCGTATGGGTGGCAGCTAGTCAATGTGTCTTCCTCACATGCATGTTTCTTTCTTTCTCCCTCTCTCCCTCCCGCTCTGTCTGAAGATGAATGCAAGAAAGTGTCCTTGGGTGAGGATCAAAAAAAAAAAAAGAATATAGATGACTCTAGAGAAAGAATTCTGGTCTAATTTTCACAAGCAAGTGTTTCAGTTTCCTCTCCCATAAAATGTGGATAAGGAAAGTATGTACCAATCTCCCTGGCGTGTTGTGGGGTGACGCGAGTGGAAGGCGTAACCAGTTGAGAAGGGCATCTAGTGTGTTCTAAGAGCACTGTAGGTGTTAGCTGTTCTTGTGATTCCAGGCCTGGCCACCCGGGAGCCCTGGGAGCAAGCCCTTGGTGTTTGCATCTCCACACTCTCAGCAGTTTACTGTCATCCTGTATTGTCTAAAGTAAGGGCTTGATAACTTCTCCCTGGATGAGAGAGAGGGAGAGAGGCATGGTTTTCCATTATCCTGCGGTTCATTTAGCACATTCCTAAGCTAAAAACATACAAAAAGTCCTAGGTTTCTTGAAAGCCCTTTGTAGGGCATAGCATCCTGGAACTGAAAATTGTTAGAACCGGAAGGGAGCTCTGATTTTTTAGTTCTGATCCCTCATCTTTCAGAGGAAGTCACCCAAGGCCCAGAGACACATAGGGACTTGTTCAAAGCCTCAGTGACAGGGTTGCACCAATGATTGGCCTGAACCAGCAATTTAGCTTGAACCCAGCAACTGTTTCATTCTGCAATCCTACATCGTCTTTCTGTTTGTGTCCCTCTGTTGTGTGTGATAAGCTGTCCTATCAATGTAGTATTTCTTCCAGTTACCTTCTGCTCTTTATCCCAACAATTTTCCCCTTTAAAATTACCAAAGACAAGCCCAGCCGGTGTGGTGCAGTGGATTGAGCATCATCCCTTGAATGATTCCCAGAGTCAGGGCACATGCCTGGGTTGTGGGCTCTATCCCCAGTAGCGGGGTATGCAGGAGACAGCCAGTCGATGTTTCTATCTCTCTCTCCCTTCCTCTCTCTCTCTCTAAAGATAAATAAATAAATAAATAAATAAATAAATAAATAAATAAATAAATATTTTTAAAAAATTACCAAAGACAAAGCGATCATCAGCTGTTGGCCTCTGTAGCCACATTCTCTGAGAAAGCGTCCTGACCCTTCACAGAGCTGGGCCAGTGTTACTGAACTAAGGGGTCCATCTGCCTGAGTGCATCAAAGCCCAGTCAAACACAAACAGGAGTTTGCAGTCAAGAAAGTGGAGGTTTATTAGTTGAGGAAGTTGTGCCAAACCCAGAGTCACAGGTAAGCTAGTGGTCAAAGACCTGGCTCCCCAATAGCTTCTAGGGGATGGATTATATAGAGGACTAAGGAAGTTAGGGTCCTGGTCAGGATCATGGTCTCTACTGATTGGTTGGCGCTAGGGGAGGGGGGAGTGTATCAGTGCATCTGGTCCTGAGGTCAGACATGGTGTTGCTTTGTCTGGTTTTGCAGAGATGTGGTTGGTGGAGTCATTCTACTTTTCTGGGTCTAGAGCTGAAATACATCTGAGGCCTATCTAGATGTTATCCTTAATTTGATGAAACTCTGTCTCTGTGATGTATAGACCCCTGGCTTTGTTCCTAAGATTGTTCAGTGCTCGCCGAAGCCTCATTTCCCAAGGGCTTAATGATTAAGGGAGTGGACATGCAAGGGGAGAGGGCGGCAGGTGAGACAGGGTGCTGGATGAGGCCAGCAGGAATCAAAAAGAAGGAAAGGAGAAACGATCATATTAAAGAAATGAAGTTTCGGCACAGTTACACCAGTTCTCCTGCAACCTGCTACCACAGCACCCTTGCTTTCCCCGGCACGCAGTTGACCACACAGTATTTTGCTCACCTGTCTGGCCATTAGTGTCCCCCATTAAACACTAAGCTCCAAGGTGCCATAGTTTAGGGTGTGGGCCCTGAGCCAGACTGCCTAGGCTCAGCTCACAGCCCTGCTACCTACTAGTTGTGTGACCCTGGCAAGTTACTTAACCTCACTGTGCTGCTGCTTATTCTTCTGCATAATGGCATCCAGCTGGAGTTGGAGTTGGGGTTGGGAGGATTACATGAGACAATGCTTGTTAAGTACTCGGGATGATGCCTGGCATGTAAGAAGCACTTAATAAACCTTAGCTCTTAATCTTCTCTTTTCTCGTTTTTATCCAGTGCCTAAGCACTCAGAAAATAGTTTTCGAATAAATGTCTGTCTGTCTTTGGGGCCACACAGATTAAATCAAATGCCCCTTCCATACTGCAGTTCTTTATTATGTTCAGTGGTGATGGGACCACACAGAAGTATAGCCTGTGGCCCTTGTCCATAATGAGTTTACCATCTAGTTGGGATAACAAAATATGCAATGCAAGCAGCCACTACAGAGCCATGCAGAAGCAAAATTACTGCCTATTAATATATGCAAGTTTTATTGGAAACAACATAAAACTTTAAAACTTCCAGATGCTCCCCTACTACAGCCTCATCTTAGGGACGTGGATGTTGTTTTCCAGAGCATTATAACATTTTAGAACTGAAGGAGCGATTGTAGAGATTACCCTTCCTTTTAAAAATGAGAATAATTAAAATTTATCAAAAATAAAGTTTCAAAGGACTATTGTTGGAGATCATTGAAACATTTGGGTCTCTTTAAAACATTTCTTAGATGCTAAAAATGAAAGACCCCCAAGTTCTCAGTAGACACCTCTCTGTGAGAGAAGCCTGGTAACTCAGAGGCGTATTATGAACACTGTCTGGTTTATTGTTCCCTCCTTTCCACTGTCTTTCCTTAGGACATACCGTGGCCAAGCAAACATATTATACCAGTAAAAAGAAGGATTCCTCAAAGTGGTTACCTGCCCTTCAACTTTTTGAAATAGCATTGAAGCTCTGTACGACGTCGGCAACAGAGGAACATGAGGTGGAAGCTGAAATCCTTTTTCAGAAAGGTAAGATGTATTTGGGGTCAAAACTATGAGAAAGTTTATGGAGTTTTTTTTTTTTTTTTTTTCCTACTAACATTAGGCTTCTTGAAAATCTTGTCAGTGAGTGTAAAAAAAGACAGATTTTTACAAAGGACTTAGTGATGACAAACACATTGACTGGTACAAACTAAGTTTTAGATAAAGAGAACACTATTTGTTTTTAATTTATATCTAGAAAGAAACAAAAAGTACCCCTTAGTTTCTTTTATAATTACAATTGCTCTCCTTGGTTTCATGTTTGACTCAAAAATGTCAGCATCAGCCATTTAGCTATAAATAATGTTCCTTAAGTAATGCTTAGAAGATACTTTTTCCTGCATCATTTCATTATTTAGCTAAGCATTTTAGTTAATTTTTATGAAAGATAGATACCCATTTAAATTAAATTGCTAGAACATACTTATATTTATAACTTATATACAACACATATTCACATAATACATTCGTATGATTTTATTGTGGCCATTTCAGCCATGAAGAAAATGATGATGGTTATGAGTGCTATCCTTTGTGGAGCATCTACTAGATGCTGGGCTCTGTAGTGAGTGTTTTACATCTCATATTGCTGATTCTTGCAACAGCTCTACAAGGTAGGCAAGGCCATTCCTGGTTGACAGATGAGGAAAGTGATGAGCAGTCTGGTTAAGTAACTTTTTATAAACCAGCAGCTCCTAAATTGTAGTGCACAGATGTAAACTTTACACTGGGTGGCTTTGTGCCCTGTCCACCTGCTGCATGAGAACCGTGGATCCTTTTAATAGCAATTATATAATTTCCCTTTTTGTTACAAAAGTGTCGCTCCAGCACCTACATTAGAAGGCTGTAGCTCACCATGAAGGCTGGCGGCTGCGTGAGAACTAGCTCATTTCCGTCATCCACGGTGGTTTTTAAGGGTTTGCTGACTTTTTGGTTTTAGAGATGTTTTCTTTGATATCTGTGATAGCAGACAGTGGAAAGAGGAAAATGGGCATAGAAAAAGAGAAGGAATGCCCCAGGAGGAAGAGGAAGAACACAGTAAACAGGGAGAAAATGATGGTAGAAACACTCGTGACTGGTTAGCCAGTGGAGGCTTGGACGCAGTGTTGCCAATTGAAGGCAGAGGAGTCTTGAGACTCGTAGGGAAGGAAACAAAAGATCTTTCCCTGTTGGCTCCCCTTCCAGCAAGAAACAACAGATGGATGAGAAGGACAGCACATCCAGTTTTCTGAATTTCCAGCATGAAATATTTGTTCTGAAATTCTAAATGATAGGAAAGGGAAAACCCATCTTTGTCTATCTTTTTCTTCTTTCAGGCAAAATAGAATGTCAGATATTGATGGAAGAGAAAGCTCCAAATCCTCAACTTGAGAGTTTATGTGAAGCTATACAACTAAGTTTGAGCCACGATCAAAACTCAGGGTAAAGAAGCTATCTTCCCACTAGGACACTGCATATGGTACTACCCACTGGTGGCCACTGTCCAGCAGGTTTACTGACTTCCTTTTCAAGCTTGCTGCTCTTGGCTCTGACCCAAGGCGGTTAAAGTGCTGGTTGATGATGGTGACTATTGTGGTAGCATACTGGACTGTGAATCCCTTCTAGTCTGCACTCAGATCAATCTCCTGTCAGTCCTAGGATTACAGTCCTCCCAAGATGTGAAATTGTATCTAGAAGGGAATTATGTCGATATTCACTCTGGTCAGCAGCACTAGGGCTGGCCAACTTAATTCTGTGTAAAAATCACTTCAAGATTGAGGGCAAGCCACCATTATTTCAATGGCACTGATCTAAATGGCCCCAACTGACAGGTTTGATAATGAGCACACAGAGCTAACCGATACCAAATCACCGCTTTCTGCATAACTCTGTGTCTCTTTTGATATTAAGTGGTATAGAAGGGTCGAAACAGGCTTGTTAATTTGTTTTTTAAAATTGATTTGAGAGAGAGAGAGAGAGAAAGAGAGAGATCTGTTGTTCCACTTATTTATGCATTCATTGACTGAATCTTGAATGTGCCCTGGCCGGGGATCAAATCTGCAACCGTGGTGTATCAGGGTGATGCTCCTATCAGCTGAACTACCCAGCCAGGGCAAGGCTTGGTTTTTAAGGCAGGTTCCTCCAGACCCAACCTTCACCTCTTTACTGCCTTGTTTGCCGGAATATTCCAGACTGGCCTTGATGTTGTGGAGTGTTGCCAGTACAGGACAGGCAGAACGCTCAGCTCTCTTCAAGAGCTTCTGATTTCAGGAGGGAGGCAGACGCGCGTGTCTGCGGAGCGTGCTGTGGGAAGAGGGTGTGAGCTTGGGACAGACGCTGGTTTTGTCCACTTTTACCTTTATTAGCCCAGAAATTACTGGCAAGTAATGAAAAATAATTATGAGTGATGATGCTACTTAATAAGTAAAATCCTGTATCATTTTAGGTTGATAAGAGACTCCTACCTAGAAATTGCCCTGTTATATTTACATATTAGAAAGACAAAGAACAAACCTTCAGCACCATCAACACCTAAGGTAATAAACTTTTATTAGAAATTTTAAGTTAATTACCTTTTGAGCTTGCTATTTTGTTAATACTGTGCTATTGAAATAATGAGACTGATTTTCCTGCATGACTTAGAGAAATTAATTTATTACTTTGTCGTCATACCCGTGTTTATGTATCTCTTTTGATCTTTTATGTAAAGCTTTGGGAATAGGTTTCATTTAGACATTTTTGTCTGTTAAAATGTTATCCATGAAATATGGGTACACGTAAATACTTGAAGTCATTAGTATCTATCATTAAATTGCAGGAAACAAAATAATATTGAAGCAGATGGACAAGTAAAATCTTTATTATTGATGTGGCCTACAAATAGATCACCTGTGATAGAGTCATTAATTCATTCATCACGTATCTGTTGAGCACCTACTATGACCCAGGCAGTGTTCTGGAACGTGATTAAGCAGTGTCCAAGCCAAACTCTGTCTTTGTTCTTATGGACCCTCCAAGAGATCTTTTCAGAAAATTCTGGTGTCAAATCTCTAATTTTTGAGAAAGCATAAACATGATTTTAAACCATTAGGTAAATAAGCTTTCAGTCAATTGAATTATTCATAGAGTAGCTGCCTTTGGTGGATAGCAACTATTTTTTCTATCAAAAAATGTGTGATTACATAGAGGAAGTTACTTTTTGTGGTGTAATAAACGTGTTTATTTCCAGTCAGAGAAAACAAATATTTTTGTTTCCATAGCAAGTAGCAAATCCAATTAATAGGACAGTAGGATAATAATATATCACCTTTTTACCTTTACTAGAAAGGTGTTTATAATAAAGAGCTTGAACAAGTTAGGATTTGAGTGAAAAGAATAATATAATTCCATATGATGTGGTCATTATTTTCTGTATATCTTGACATAGTATAAATATTTTAGCAATTGGTATAATTACCAGAAACACAGAAAGCAGTCAAAATAAACAAAAAATTTTATCCAAGCACATTCAGATCATTGAAATATAACATTTGAAATTTGTCTAAATACAGATAATGCTTTATAAAAGGAAGCATTACAGTTTCACTTTTATGGAACCCATATAGCAGAGTGACCATAGCACTGGCTTTGATTTGAATCTGAGCTTCACGGCATGCTAGCAGTGTAACTGGAGCCTTTGTGAGCTTAGTTTTCTCATCTGGTGAAATGGTGCTGCGATACCTCTTAGACTGGCTAGAAGAATTAATGTGATGGGCTTGGCACATAATAGATACTCAAGGGAACTGTTTTCCATCACTATGTAATTTCAGTTAAATGTCTACATTCAAAAGTATTTTATACATAGTAAATCTTCAATAATTATTTGTTAGCTGGGTTGAGTTGATTTTCTTGAACATTCATTTATTTATTCATCCATTAACCAAACACTAATTGAGTGCTTAATGTATGCCATGCATGTTATTCTCTTTCCCTAAGGAGCAGAGTCTAGCAAGGAAGAGAAATAATTATATCACAATGTAATGAGGATTATAATCAAGATATGTCAAGTTAGGGAAGTGGAGCAAAGTAGGGATGAATTTATCCTGGCTGTCTGGCTTGGTTAGAGCCTTGTCCTGTATATTGAAAGATTGTGGGTTTGATCCCCAGTCAACCAATCAAAATTCTTTCTCACATTGATGTTTCTTTTTATGTTGTTTATGGTGTTTTTTTTTTTTTTAGAGGCAAACAAGTTTTTAATGTAACGAAGTTCAGTTTATCATTTTTTATTTTCTAGAATGTTCTTTTGTGGCATGTCTAGGGACTCTTTGCCATATCCAGTTGTTAAAGATTTTTGCCTGTGTTTTCTTGCACAATTTTTTTTCAATATGTTTTTATCGATTTTTTTTTTTCTTTTAGAGAGAGGGAGGGAGAGAGAGAAACATTGATGTGAGAGAGATACATTGATCGGCTGCCTCCTGCATGTTCCCTACTGGGGATCAAGCCTGCAACTCAGGCATATGCCCTGACCAGGAATCAAACTGGGACCTCTCAGTCTGTGGGATGATGCTCAGTCCACTGAACCACAATGGCTGGGCTCTTGTAGAATTTTTATAGTTTTAACTTTTAAGTTTGCCCATAATCTATTTTGAATAAATAAATATTTTGTGTAAAATATAAGGTAAGTATTTACATTCATCTTTTGCACATAGATCCAGTAGTTGTCCCAGCATCGTTTGTTGAAAAGACTATCCTTTCTTCTTCGAATTGCCTTGGCACCTTTGTCAAAATTAATTGATCATAAATGTAGACTTCCAGCACTATTCCACTGATCTATATGTCTACCTTTCCACGTGTGTACACTCTCTTGGTTACTGTAGCTTTTAGTACATTTTGAAATTGGAAAGTAGATATCCTCCAACTATGTTCTTCCTTTTTAAAACTGTTTTGGCTATTTTGAGTCTTTCGCATTTTCATCTACATTTTTGGCTCTTCTAAATTTCTGTAGAAAACTAAATATTTTGGTAGGGATTGTGTTGAATCTACAATCAGTTAGGGTATAATAGCCTCTTAACAAAATTGACTCTTCCAATTTATAATATGAACTGTGTCTTCATTCATTTATATGTTAGCTTATTTCTCTCACCAATGTGTTTTACTTTTTAGTATACAAATTTTGTACATTTTTGCTATATTTATTTTTATTGTGAATGAAATTTTTCTAAATCTCATTTTTAGATTGTTTCTGTATCCTGTGACTTTGCCAAACACATTTGTTGTGTGTGTGTGTGTGTGTGTGTGTGTGTGTGTGTATGTGTATCTTAAGGATTTTTACATATAGGATCATGTCTTCTGCAAACAAAGACAATTTTGCTTCTTTACTTCCAATCTAGATGTATTTTTTTTTTCTGTTGTTTGCATGGACTAGAATATCCTATGCAATGTTGAGCACCTCCCCCATCAAAAAGTACCCACTATATTATTTCCCTATTCGAATTTTCCCATTCTGAGCTCAAGCCTGACCTCCTCAATAAAGTTTTCCTCTCAATTCAAAATGAGTTTTTTCTTTTTTAAATGTCTGTATCACTAATTGTTCTTATATTATAGACATTTAATGTTATTCTGTATTCTTCTTCTAATGCCTATTAGCCTTGTTTCCAGAATGGGAGTAGGTATAATTTTCAAGCCTATATAGCTAGTACTCTGACAACGCAACCCAGAGCCGAAGTAGTTTCATTACAGCTAATGACTAAGGTCTTCATATCTTGGGGCAGGGCTGTATTGCTTAGATTCCCCCCAGGCAGATCTCGGCCGGTGTCACCTACCTTCAAGCTTAGCACTTGACCCAGGCCAGGCCACGTTTGCACATTGCCTTTCTTTGTCTCTTCTTTTCCTTGGGATTCTTATAGCCAACAAAAAGAAAAATATTGTTGTTATTGTTTATTTTATTCTGCAGTTTTGTTGATGATTAAGGAATTGGCCAGAATATGAGCATCAAAGAATTAGAACCAAACAGTCTAACTGAATAGTTTTGTCCTGATTACTCAAACCTTAATGCTTACTTAGGTTATCTTTTAAAACTGTAAAACAGATTTAATGTTGCTGGTGGAATTATTTTCTTTCTGTTTATTTCTGTAACCTTGATTTTCTTATGTTTAACTACTGAACAGACACATGCACACACTCAGTTTAAAACATATCTTCACTCATTGTTACTTTTTATTCTGTAGAATTTTATAATACCATCCCTTTAATAATTTCCTATTTAGAAAGATGATAGCAAATACTATCAAAAATCTTTAAGTAATATTCTTATTTCTGGCATCATTATAAGCAATAGATTGAGTTGATGAATTTTCTGTTAAAATGGTAAATATCACTTTAAGTAAAGTAAATATTTTATTTAAAATGCCATTTGTAGCCCTGGCCAGTTTGGCTCAGTGGTTAAAGCGTCAGCCCGTGGACCAGAGAGTCCCGGGTTCAGTTCCCACTAAGGGCACGTACCTCGTTTGCAGTTTGTCCCTGGCCCCAGTTGAGGTTTTGTGGGTGGCGACCAGTCGATATGTCTCTCTCACATCAATGTCTCTTCTCTCTCTCTCTTCCCTCCTCTCTATCTGAAGATGAATGCAAAAATGTCCTCAGGTGAGGATAAAAAAAAGTAATAATAACAATAAAGAAAATGCCATTTGTGTTCATTTTGTTATTATTCAGATGATACAGTTCATTGTAGGAAATTAGAAAAAAAAAAAAAGGTAAGAAATAATCACCCTTAAAACCTGGGGTAACACTTAATTTTCTCTGCTTATATACACTGGAAATATATGTGTGTACATATCTTTTAAAAAATGGGGTCATATGTTGCATCCTGTGTGTAACCTACACTTTTCTATCCCAAGATATTTTAAATATCTTTTCATGTGAATAGATACATATACCTTGTTATTCTTTTGCTGTTGTTGTTAATCCTTACCAGAGGATATTTTTTCCATTAATTTTTTGGAGAGTGAAGGGAGGGAGAGAGGGGTGGGGGGAGATAGAGATAGAGGTAGAGAGAGAGAGAGAGGGAGGGAGGGAGGGAGGGAGAGAGAGAGAGAGAGAGGTGAGAGACTCATCAATTGGATGTCTTCTGCACTTGCCCTGACTGGGGCTGGGGATCAAACCTACAACCCAGGTACATGCCCTTGACTGCGAATCATACTCACAACCCTTCAGTCCTCAGGCCAATGCTCTAACCATCTAGCTACACTAGCCAGGGCTACATTGTTATTCTTAATAGCTACATAGTGTTCTGCTAAATTGTCATCTTCAGAAGATGAGAAAATTTATCATGAAACTTTATGATATCTTTATATATTTTTATCATAAAACATTTGCCACATTTTTTAGACTCCAACCAGAAGGCATAGTTCTATTAAAGAATCAACACCAAGTGGATTTGAAATGTGCAGTTCACTGGCCTGGATTGCGATTAGAGCTGCTGCACAGGTTGGTGTGATCTCTCTTTTATCTTCTTTTTTATTGTAATATCTTTATTCTTCACCTACCAGCTGTTAAGGCAACACAATGTATTTATTTGTATAAGAGAAAGAAAATTTTCACATTCTTTGGGATTGTGCCAATGCTGTTTCTTTGGGAAGATTAAAAATACTTTTTATATGTGTAGTGCTTTGAATCTCTGTTAGCCAGACCTGGCTTTGTTTGTTTTAACTTTTCTCTAAGGGAAATATTGGCAGAGACACACGTGCACATGTCTGACATTTTGGCAAATATCTGTCATAGCTAGGTGAAGCAGCCTATTTAAAGTGACTTATACATTAATTAAATTGTCAACAGTGATCATTTCCTTGACTATGATATATTATACATGTTGAGGATAACATTATTTTTGAGGTTGTCTTTATTTTTCCTTCCAATGTATATTGAATGTTATTTTATGAATTTTCTATTTCACATTACTTACTTAATGAGTAATCTATGAATCAGAAAGTTTACACTTATGAATTCTAATTATGCATTAATTTAAGGTCAGTAAAGCTGTGCTGGCAATTAACCTGCTTATCGGCAAGAAGAATGCTAGAACTGATCAAGTTAGTCAAACGGCATTGCCTAACATCCCGGAATTTGCCACTGTGGACCTTCTGTCTTCATACACAGATTATTTGCTTGGTAAGTTTGAGTGTCTAGGCATTTTGTAAAAAGATGACATATGCTATATGTGATCAAGTTTCAAAGGTTTAATTGTAGTGACTTGTTGAGTTTGAGCTTAGAGAGGATAATTGTTTGGGGAGTCTCTGGGAGAGCATAGGGGTCTTAGGACCTAGCTGCCAAAACAAAGGATTTCAACATTAGAGTGGGAGGAGTCACAGACCTGCAGACCACAGCATAAAGGAAGCTATGGAGTAGGATGCTTCTGCTCTAGATGCAACCTACAGAAACATGCAGCCTCTGCCAGAATTTACACCAGCTCAAGAGATGCCTTGAATCCTGACTCCTGCATCCTTAGCACCGTTCCAACTTCAAGTGCTGCACCAATGCACTGAATTTGTGATACCAAAATCCCGTCCAGGGCCCTAGCTGCAAGGAAATCTGGGAAACATAATTTTTATCTTTGTAACTTCTTTAATATAGGAAAGCACATTTGGAGATTAGGATGGATGTTGATTGAACCAATCTAGTACATACAATTGATACATTTTCTCCTTAAAAATACCAGTAATAGTATAACTGTACACACAACTATGCTTCTTGCTCCTTTTTTCTTTAACTTCATGTAAATATATCTTTTGGCAGTTGCTTCACATCAATATATAACCCCTTTTGTATTGTTGCATAATATTCCTTTATAGAGATGCACCACAATTATCTTCCTTTGATAGATGTTTAGGTTGACTTTACTCTTTCAATTTAACTCTGTAGTAGATGATCATATGTACACATAATTTTGTACATCGGCTAGTATATTTATTGGATCAGTTCCCATAAGGGAAATTTCTGGATCAAAGGGTAGATTCATTTATAATTTTGATAAATATTGCCAAATGCCTTTCATAAAGGATATGCCAGTTTGTACTGTCAACAATTAATAAAAGGTCTATTTTTCCTATACCCTTGCTGACACAGGTATATTTTTAAAACTTTGTCAATATGGCAAGGGAGAAATGATTTTATTTTAATTTGTACATCTCTCCCTAAGACTAAGGGTGAGCTTCTTTTGTGTGAAATTTCTGCTCATAATCTTTGCTTATTTTTTTTTTCTCTCTCTCTTTCTTTTTTTTCCTTTAAATATTTGTGTAAGCCTTTTATTATGGAAATTAACCCTTTAATTATGATATGGTTTGCAATATATTTTTCTAATTTATCAGTTGTTATTCAGCCTTTTTAAAAAAATGGTAGTTCAGTCCCTTGGAGAAACTTTTTATTTCTATACAGTATAGATTACTAATCTTTTCTTTGATAACTGCTGAATTTGTGTCATTGGAAAGGCATTCAGAAATTTTAAGAAAAATACAGTATTCTTTATGGATAAAATATGAGGCAAATTAGAGTATTACATGATTTTTAGAAATTGGAATAAGTGAAAGCTATCAATTCGATCTTTGTGCTAAGAACCCTATCCTTTGTGGGTTACAGGTTGTGATATTTACCTTTAGTAAAGAAATGTAGTCACATTGCAGTGAACAGCACTCTACAAGCATAATTTCAGCATTATTTATTGGTTTTCAATAAATAACAAATAGGGTCTACTATGAGTGCGGGACAGAAAGTAAATGTTCCTGACTCTGAAAAAGGAAACCTAGCAAGTGGAAGGAGATGAAGGGGTGCAGATACCATCAGATTATAAAGTAAGACATCAAAGGATATTGTCCATATTTGGTAGAACTAGAAAGAAAGGTTTTAAGACATGATTGATAGACATATAAAAATAATGGCGGAACTAAAAATGTTGATATAACTATAAAAACTCCAAAGTGAAGAGGAGTGGTTATGGGAGCTACTGCCTCACTGTCACAAAAGAAAGTCAGCAGATATATTTTCTAGAACTGATGATCCAGGGAAGTGCCAGAGGGAGTTATTTTAAGAGCCAGAACTAACCATTGAAAGAAATAAAGTAGATGGTTAGAAATGCTTGCCTCTGGGGACAGGGATTTTCAGTGTTGATTATGTAAGTTATAACCTTGATAAACAACAGGATCTTAAGATTCAGTATGTCAAAGCGGATTATTTCCAGAACACCAAATTGTAACTCAACATCAGAAAATGTATTAAAGTAAATCACTAAATTAACAGATGAAAAGAGAAAAACAATAATCAACTAAAAAAGTACAGCAAAATTGCCCTGTCAAGGTGGCAAAGTTGGTTGGAGCATCATTCCTACACCAGAGTTGTGCGGGTTTGATTACCAGTCAGGGCACATACCTAGGTCGTAGGTATGGGAGGCAGTGTTTCTCTCCTCTCTCTCTCAAATCAATAAACAGAGGATGTCAGTGGGGGAAAAAGGAGAAACATCTGTAACAAAAATTAATTAATTAATTTAAAAATTCAATAAACATATCCTCAGGATTAAAAAAAAAGTATAGAGAAATTCAGTAAAGTCACACATGATTTCAACACGAAGAATTAAATATTTTCTTAATTTGAAAAACTTAAAATAGGAAAAAAACTACTGGACTTACCATTCTCCATATTCAGACGCTGTTCCCTTTGAGAGCAGAGTAAGATTGCTGTCATCACTCTGTTGAAAATTATTCTGGAAATCTTACCCTGCATCACATTAAGCAAAAGAAATAAGAAATAAGGAGTACAAGTAATGGGAAAAAAGAAAAAAAACTGTCATTAGTACTAAATTATTCACATGGACAGTTCCCAAAAAACTATAGACAATAAGAACGTTTAGCAAGATTACTGAATGTAAAATTGTATTTCTGTACACTTCTAAGAGATAATACATTTTTTTTAAAAGCTATCCTTTATGATACTAAAAAATATATAAGGCATCCAGGGCTTAATGTAACAAAAATTATAAAACAAAAAAATGTGTTGAAAGAGACAAGAAAGCATACCATGTTTATAGTTAAAAATATTATTGCAAGATGCCAACTATTCTCAAGCAGTGTGCAAGAATTCCGATTTCTTCAGATTATTACCAATACTTATCATTTTCAGATTTTAGTGCCTGTCAGTTCTTGAGGGAAGTGAAATGGTATTTGATTTCAATTTCTATTTCTCTGATCTTCAGTGATGCTGAAAATGTTGGCTCTTTGGATTTCCTTTTCTCTGAGTTTCCTGTTGAAATTCCTTGTCCACTTATCTATTGGACTGTTTGATTTTTTTTTTTCTTATTGATTGGTGCAAAGTATTACATATATTAGAGAGAACCAATTTACATGTGTTTTGAATGTCTTTTCTAAGTCGGTTTTTTCTTTTAACTTTGTGTTTATTGTCATTTGTGGTACAAAACATTTTTTAATCAAATGTAGTCCCATGTGTCAGTCTTTCCTTTATGAGTTGGGTTTTTTTCATATCGTTAGTTTTCAAGAAAAGCATAATGTTTGTTTGTTTCTTTTTACTTTCAGATCATTACCAAGTTGTCTTCCAGACTAGCCATACGTTTTTATACCAAAGCAATGACACGGATGGGGACACAGATACTACAAAAAAGACTCCGACTAAAGTGGACATTACATGGATTCTTCTGCTGCGCTACTACATCCACCTGCAGAGGATTAATAACATGACCAAGCTGCTAGGTAGGTTTTTGATATGTTAAGAAAGAATAAATTTCTTTCTAATTTCTGTTTAGGTCATGCTTCATATTTAGAATTATAAAATACTTTTGATATCTTTCTAAGTGAATTCCCATCAGAAGAAGAAAATTTCAAAGGTTTTTAACCTGAGACACACAGACCTTTTATGACAATAGTATTCCAATGTAATTGATTTCCTTTGACACTCTACATGTTTTATTTCATGTATTTAGAAACATATTGACTGCCAAATTGACCCATGGCTTGAAACAGTTAAGAACCAGACTGATCATAATGTGACAAGCTTGTACAATGAATGAGATGAAATTTTGGCTTTAAGGAGAGTCGTTTAGTATCCAATATGTAAAAGAGAAGAAATGCATGACTTGAGATAGGATACAGAACTCCATGGAGTTGTTTTGTTTTTTGTTTCATCATTGAGATAGCTAAAGACTATCAAAAAAATGGTATGATCCGCTTCACATCAGTCCCTTTATGGTTTCATGACAATGTATATTATTGTTTTTAATCTGTGCCCATGAAATTGGTGATTCAGTGTTGCTCATCAGTATAGCAGTTGGAAAAGACAGTCTGGTCCTTGCCAGGGCCCAGTGCTAAGAAGCCAGCGGGGCTAGCAGGCTGAGGCACAGAGTGGCTGAGCACAGTTATCAGGAGCTTGCTGACTCCTGAGACAGACAAGCACTCAGAAAGGCGTCCCGCTACAAGGTGTGACAGGAGGGTACGGAAACAATGGAGGTTCAGCGGTGAAGGAAGGGGACTTTACCCCATGTCAACTCATCTGACCTCTGAATTCACCTGCTGGCACTTCCCAAGTCAAGTGCCCACGTATTACTTCTTTTCTGCTCTGAGCTCTCTCTGAAGTTACTGCCCAAAGAAAGGACCATCTGGAAATGTCAGGATTCCACACCCCCAGGAGTAGCCTTCAACTAATGAGGCAGAGAACTGGTGGATTAACACTCCAGCTTGCCAGCCCCTTGATGGAATAATTCTACATGTTTCTTTCTTTCTCAGAAGGCCCCCCTCAGGACTGTAGCCCATTCACTGACTCCCTCTCATTGGCTCCTTTCTTGCCTCTGTCACATTTTGTCTGTTCCTTCACTTCTGCTCCTTGGATCACTTTTCAAATAAGTTACCTGCATCTAAATTCTTGCTTTAAGATCTTTCTGTGGGGGAGAACCTCAAACGAGACAGCTGGACAGAATATTTTACATTATCAAGACTTGGAACCTGAATTAACATCCTCACATGCTTCTGCGATTTTCTTTCCTTTCTGTGGCAAGAAGCAATTCCATTAGTGTATAAGCTCTAAACACGGAGCAAGGCTGTTGGCATCTGAGGTGGGGATGTACAGAAGAGTGGTTATGAGTAAAAACCAATACTACTGTGAACCTTCTGCTATCTAATATAACTCTAAATTAAGGTATTCTTCTCCCTTCAGCATCTCCAAAGGCCGGTTCTGGAATTTCTTTGCCAGATAGTACACTTCTCACATCCCTTTTCAACTCTGGGTTGATTTTGCGCCAAAAAGAAATGCATAATTTCCTTAAGAAATTTTTACATCTGTATTCTTCCTCTTGTATTGATGAATTTCCAAGAGAACTAATTCAAGGACTGGAAAATCCACCTTTTTACGAAAAAGTCATATATGATTCATCAACCAAGGTAATGTTTTAAAACATCATAGATTGTTACAAAACTTCATTTATTTAATTATCCTGACTTTGGACTTTGCCATATAGCGCTTTAATTTTTGCTATTTAATTTTTGCCAGACCTGTCCATGTTTCTATTGTCAGCTCTCAGAGAAGTGACCTGAAAAAATGGTTTGTTCCAAATTGGCAACTGTTGCTCATCTTGTCCTACTAGAAAATAGTAACTTATGTCCTATTAGTAACTTTAAGTTTTAAGTAGATAATACATTTTTTTAAATCGCTGTTTTGAACAAGAGTGTGGGGTGATTATTAATAAATTATTATTTAAAAAATGACTGTTAATACATTGTGGTTTTTAAAAAGTAGTGGAAAGAACCCCCAAGACGTATTTACTAATCCAGTTACAGAAATGATTGTTAATTGGGGTTGTGGAGTTGCCTCCAGGCCCGTGTACTGGAATCCACATGGGAGAAGTTTCCAGATGACTTCCTAGACACGGGGTTTTGGCAGCGGCGTTGTCATTTCCTGCCCGGGTTCTAAATCATCTGAGAAATAAGAGTCAGACAGATTGGGATTAAAACATGATTACCTTTATGAATCATAAAGTTGACATTTTAGTATATGGTTTTATTTATTTGGAAAGTGGTCTTTCTACTAGTGAACAGCAAAGTAGACAGATCTACAAATCTAGCCATGTGTTTTTTGTTTTGTTCTGTTTTTGGTCATTACAGGCCTCCTTAAAATCTGTGGGGACAGAGACCCCTTTAAAATATGTCATATGAAGGAGCATAGACTATTCACTTGCTACAGAGTGCTCGCTCCGAAGATCTAAGAGCAGAAGTGTGCATATCTAATTATTTTTTTCCCTCCAAATTCACCACTCAAGTAACCCTCTCCCAGGGAGAAGAGTGAGGAGGTGGAAAAGGCTGGGAATGTAACGTTAGTATTGCTCCCCTCCCCCCCCAGGGGAGGAAACTGTAGCTAGTGGTATTAAATAATTTCCATCTAACACCAAATTCTGATTCGCCCCCCTGGGAACTGAGTCTGCCTTTGAGGACTACTCTGTGTCCCAGGTGCCTCAGGTGTTTTGGAGCAGGGAGCAGAGAATGGGAAGGTTCACAGCTATAGTTTTAATGGGTGTATTCATGAGAACATTTTATAAGAGTCTAGGGTGTGTGACTTCTCCAATGCTGCTCTGAAAGGGGCTCTCCTTGAGTACTTCAGCATTAAAGGCGGCCTATCGTTACCCAGTTCCTGAGGACTGTGCTCCAAATGCATAGCCATGAATACATTGTAAATACATGTGCCATTTCTAGTGGCAGCAATGTTATCAAAGAGTTGTTTCGCCCGGCCTGCTCGTTCTTTGATATAATTAGTGGAACGCTCTCCCAGGATAATCAGCGCTGGAGATCACGGTCGCCTGCCTGACAGGCACAAGCCCCCTAATCACGTGCTTGTTTCATTGGGTAGACAGCTAACAAGCATGAAGCCTTTTGGATTTTTTTAATAAACTCCAAGCTTGGATGATTTTTATAATGACATTTTTGAGCCTTTAATCACTCAGGAGGCTGTTTCAATCAGATTCCTTCCATGCTTTGCTACTTAAACCTGCTTCCCCCCACAAAGAAGTAGATGCCTTTCCAGAAGGATCATTGCTACATGTCGTGCTCATCAGTTTTGTGAGTCTGCATGTTGTCAGGTTTATTGAAGCTTTGTGATGGACAAACAAAGGTGCCGAACTAATTATGTTAGAAATTTTCCAGAAAAGGATATGATTAAAATTGTGCACAATGCTGAATTATCCATGTTTAGACTGTGCCTGTGGTGGTCTGTGGAAGGTCAAATATTTGACTAGTGCAAAGTGATTTGTTGTTTACAGAACTGTGGCGAACAAGCGTTTTCCTGGCAGGTCTATTGTTTCATTCCTTTCAAAGAATAAATCAAACATATCAAAGTACTCAGTGTGTAGTATAGCCCATCAATTAGCACATGCAATTAATCCCATTAGTGACTAGATATTGCTTTTTTTAAAGATAATGGAAAATTTCCTACATATTTTGATATTGACTTCTGTTGCAATTCACCATTACTAGACCATCGTGCTAAGGCTAATAAACACTGTACGTGTTAAAGAGAAAGCTGTTTGTTTATTTTCTCCACTTAGCTAGTTATTGAATATAAATTCTTCTTTAAAAAACATTTTTTTTTCTTCATTGATTTTTAAAGGGAGAGGGAGAAAAAGACAGAAACATCGATGAGTGAGCACATTAATCAGCTGCCTCCTGCATGCCCCCCACTGGGGATTAGGCCCACAACCTGGGCTTGTGCCCTGACCAGGAATTGAACCAGCAACCTCTTGGTGTATGGGTCGACATCCAACCACTGAGCCACACTAGCCGGGCTGAATATAAATTATTTGCTAAAATAGACACCAGACCCCTGAAAGGCATTCAGATATGAAAAAATATGAGAAATTATTTTTGTGAGTCAATTGTTTGCCTGATTTTTTTTTTTTTTGGTGAGCTGCCTGATGTAGAATTAATCTTAATTAAACACTGAAATGATGATTTAAGCCTGGTAATTTTGACCACTGTGCATTTTGGTTATGCTTGTAGTATCAGTGCCAATAAGTGAGGATTGTGGCTTATCATATCCTTTTATGATAGTCTCTAGATATTTTTGAAAAGTTTTCACCTTTAATATTACCTTTCAGTCAAGACATGTTTCTTCTTTCATCAGTAGACAACTTGAAAGGTCAGTGTCTTTATTTCTCCTTTTCTTTTATTCCGAAGACTTGCATTGACAGCCTTACATAGTATCTTGAATAGGTTCAGAAATAATGGGAGATACAAGCCCTATAGAAACAGCAGGCATTTCTTTCTGGCCACTGACATGTTCCCCCTGGTCACCAAGCCTTGAGATAACTTGGATGCCAGGAGTTCGCTAGAAGAGCTGTTTCCCAGCCACCATGATGAATTCTTGGGAGTAGCAAGAAGTTAATTTTTAAAATAGTTCATACTCCATTGAAGAAGGTACTTTTTAGACTTGAGATATTATTACCACTAGTATTATCTCTCTGGCTATACTTATTTTATTACATCAATCAACTAAAAAAAACTAAGTAAATAATTTGTTAAATCAACAAGTGCATTTTACACATTTATGATTCTTGAAAATTTGATGTAGGGATGAAGTTTCATCAAAGAAGCTGGGCCCAGATTCACCAAGACTGAATTCACAAATCAGCCACATTCTTGTAAAAAGGGAATGAGAGCAATGAATTTTAATTTTTTAGGGCAAAAACTGTCTTATTTTGCATATAGCACTGCAAAGAAAAATGCTGTTATCCACCAGTAAATAAACCAGAAAAAAGGAGATGTTCTTAGACTCCAAGGTGACCTTGAGACTGAAATGATAGCACGGACATTTTCACCTCTGGATCTTTCATTTGGGAAACTCGCCAAAGTGGAAACATTTGTTGAGTCCTCTGGGTTTTGAAGTGTATTTTTCTATAGGAGAATCTTCTCTATGGTCATCTGGGGCAGTTTTAAGATCTACATCCATGAAACAAGCTGAAACAATTTCCAGATTTATCCAGTGTAGCACATATTGAATGTATATCAAATGACTATTTTAAATATTGAATGAATTCATCATTACCAGCAATTAAACTGATGTTTTGGTTTGTTCCCTAGATACCTCATGAGAGTTCCCTGCATTCCATTTTATCATTAAAGCTCCCTGCAAGCCAAACGTCTGTAGAGCTGATGACATCAGATATAGCAATACAAGCTGTAAACAAAGAACTTTGCTTTCAGTGGTACATCCCTCCTCTGGAAAAACCTCCAAAGGAAACGGAACCCATGGTATAAAACATAATTATAAAGCTAAACCTTACATTTAGAGATAATGTCTAACTGGGCCATTATAACTCAAAGAGTAGAGAACATCCTCATATAGACAAAACATACAGCAACATAGAATCTATTTTGTCTAGTAGAATGAATCTGAAAATAACAGAGAAATACTAGGAAAGTATTCAAGCTGAGATCATTTTCCTTTTCTCTAAACTTAAAGGGAAACTTTCCAGGCTGTCACCATTATATATGATGTTTGACTTTGGGGGGGGAGGGTAGTTATTCTTTATCCATTTAAGAAGTTTTTTTTTCAACTGCCACTTTGCTAAGAATTTTTATCACGCATCTTTTATGATATCTATTAAGATGATTTTATGATTTTTCTCTTTTAATATGTCAGTTATTTTATTAATTTATTTTTGTTACAAATGTTTCTCCTTTTCCTCCACATTGATGCCCTCCTCCCGATCCCACTCCCTGCCACCACCCCCCAGCATTATTGTCTATGTCCATGGTTACGCATACATGCATATAAGTTCTGTGGTTTATCTCTTCAGTCCCCCTGGCTCCCGCCCCTGCCCTGTGCCCTTCTTCTGAGGTTTGTCAGTCTGTCCCCCACATCCATGTCTCTGGGTCCACTCTGTTCATCAGTTGGTTTTTTTTCATTATATTCCACAAATAAGTGAGATAATGTAATACTTGTCTTTCTTTGATTGGCTTATTTCACTTAGCATAATACTCTTCAGGCCCCTCCATGTCATCTCAAATGACAAGAGATCTTTCTTTCTCACATCTGCATAGCTTTTTTATTCACTCATTTACTGATGGACACTTGGGCTGTTTCCAGATTTTAGCAAAGGTAAATTGTGCTGTTGTGAACATAGGGGTACATATATTTTTTTAGATTGGTGTTTCAGGCTTCTTAGGATATATTCCTAGAAGTGGGATCACTGGATCAAATGGCAGTTCAATTTTTAATTTTTTTAATCCTCACCCTAGGATATTTTTCTATTTATCTTCAGATAGAGTGGGAGGGAGAGAGAGAGAAACATCGATGTGAGAGGGACACATAGACTGGGCTGGGGACAGCCGTAACCGAGGTATGTGCCCTTGGCTAGAATCAAACCTGTGACTCTGGTCCACGGGCTGATGCTCTACCACTGAGCCAAACTAACTAGGGCTCAATTTTTAATTTTTTTTTTATCCTCACCTGAGGACATTTTTCCATTTTTTGTTCAGACAGAGTGGGAGGGAGAGAGAGAAAGAGAGAGAGGGAGAGAAACATAGATGTGAAAGGGACACATCAAGTGGCTGCCACCTGCATGACCAACCAGGGCCAGGGACAAACTGCAACCAAGGTACGCGCCCTTAGTGGGAACCGAACACGGGTCTCTCTGGACCACAGGCTGATGCTCCAACTGCTGAGCCAAACCGGCCAGGGCTCAACTTTTAATTTTTTGAGGAAGCACCATATTGTTTTTCTTTTTTTTTTTTTTTTTTTGTCTTTTTTATTTTTATTTATTTATTTATTTACTTATTTATTTATTTATTTTTTCAAATCTTTATTGTTGAATGTAGAATGTATTACAGATGTTCCACATTTTTCCCCCATTGACCCCCTCCTCCCCACTCCTGCCCCCCTCCCACCTTTTCCCACACTATTGTCTGTGTCCATTGGTTATGCATATAAGTTCTTTGGTTTATTTCTTCCCACCCCCCCAACCCCTTTCCCTTTGAGGTTTGTCAGTCTAGCAATGAATTTGTGCTTCTTAATCCCTTCACCTTTTTCACCCATTCCCCCAACCCCCTCCCAACTGGCAACCAACAAAATGTTCTCTGTATCTATGAGAATGTTTCTGTTCTACCTGTTCATTTTGTTTGTAGATTCCATTGTTGATAGATATGTATTCATTGCCATTTTGTTTGTTCATACATTTTATCTTTTTCTTCAAAAAGACCCTTCATCATTTCATATAATAACGGTTTGGTAGTGATGAACTCCTTTAACTTTTTCTTGTCTGGGAAAGTTTTTATATGTCCATCGATTCTAAATGACAGCTTTGCAGGATAGAGTAATTTTGGTTGTAGGTTCTTGGTTTTCATCACTCTGAATATTTCTTGCCACTCCCTTCTGGCCTGCAAAGTTTCTTTTGAGAAATCAACTGACAGCCTTATGGGAACTCCCTTGTAGGTAACTAGCTGCCTTTCTCTTGCTGCTTTTAAGATTCTCTCTTTGTCTTGAACCTTTTGCATTTTGATGATGATGTGTCTTGGTGTGGGCCTCTTGGGGTTCATCTTGTTTGGGACTCTCTGTGCTTCCTGGACTTGTATGTCTGTTTCCTTCACCAAGTTAGGAAAGTTTTCTGCCATTATTGTTTCAAACAGGTTTTCGATTTCTTGTTCTCTCTCTTCTCCTTCGGGCACCCCCAAGATGTGAATGTTGGCACGCTTGAAGTTGTCCCAGAGGCTCCTTACACTATCCTCATTTTGTTTGGATTCTTTTTTCTTTTTTCTGTTCTGATTGGCTATTTTTTGCTTCTTTATGTTCCAAATGGATGGTTTGCTCCTTGGATTTACATACTCTATTATTGAAGCTGTGTAAGTTATTCTTTATTTCAGTTAATGCCTCCTTCAATTCTAACTGTGTATCCATGATTTCTAACTGGTCCTTTTTTATGCTCTTGAGGCCCTCCCTAAGCTCACTGAGGTTCTCACTAAGTTCATTGAGCATCCTTATAAGCAGTATTTTGAACTCAGTATCTGTTAGGTTGCTTATCTCCCTTTCGCTTAGTTCTTTTATTGGGGTTTTGTTCTGTTCTTTCATTTGGGACCTGTTTCTTTGTTTCAGTGTATTACTTAATGAGAGGTATGGGGCTCGCTGAGACCAGATGCTGCTCGTTTGAAAGAATTTAGGAAAAACCTGAAGCAGGATCCAAGACAGGCCAAGCCTATGGTTAAGCAAGTGGCAACAGCTTGGGTGGGCCTGAAAGTTGGGTGGGGCGGGGTCTCAGGGAGTCAGCAGGGCGGGGCTACCGGTGTGAGCCAGGTTGCTGGAGTCCCAGGTATGGAGACTGTCTGCTGCCCCCGGGAAGGGCTCACCAAAGGAACAAAGGCCTCTTACAGCACGTTTGTCCCCGAGAAAGCCCCCTCTCCAGCCCTCGCTCCAGTGCCAAACAGCTCAGTTCTTCCCTGTATGTCTCTGGCGCCCCTCGAGCTGCCTCCCCTCCAAGCTTAGAGGGAGAGAGTCCAATAAGTCCGTGCGCGGGCCCTTTAAGGAGCTGCCTGGGGCTCCAGCCGAGTCAGCTTCCCTGAACCTCAATTCCCACTGGTTTTTCCAGCCAGAAGTTATGGGGATTCTCTTCCTGGCACTGGAACCCTGAGCGGGGCACCTGGTGTGGGACAGGGACCCCTCAGTCCTCAGGAAGGACCTTCCCAGCCACGGGAGCCTCCTGATTTTTATCCGCCACACTTGGGTGTGGGACCAGCCCGTCGTGTGGCCGCCACCTCCCCTCGTGCCGCTGCCCCTCCTACCAGTCTGGAGGTGGCTGTTGATTTAATTCCGTAGTTGTAGGACTTCCATTCAGCTTGATTTCAGGTGGTTTTGAATGATGGTTGTTCTGTAGTTTAGTTGTAACTTTGATGTGGTTGTGGGAGGACGCAATACCGCGTTTACCTACACCACCATCTTGACTAGAAGTCTCACCATATTGTTTTCCATAGTGGCTGCACCACTGTGCATTCCCACCAGCAGTGTATTAGAGTCCCCTTTTCTCTACCACCTCACCAACATTTGCTGTTTGATCATTTGTTGATGGAGACCATTCTGACAGGTGTGAGGTGATACCTTATTGTTGTTTTAATTTGCATCTCTGATGATTAGTGATGTCGAGCATTTCTTCATATGTCTCTTGGCCATTTGTATGTTCTGTTTGGATGGGTGTCTATTTAGCTCCTCTGCCCATTTTTTAATTGGGTTCTTTGTCTTCCTTTTGTTGAGTTGTATGAGCACTCTATATATTTTGGAAATTAACTCCTTATCTGATGTATCATTGGCAGTTATGCTCTCCCATACAGTGGGTTCCCTTTCCATTTTGATAGTTGTTTCTTTTGCTGTGCAGAAGCTTTTTAGTTTGATGTAGTCCCATTTGTTCATTTTCTTCTTTGTTTCTTTTGCCTTAAGTGATGTATCAGTGAAAATTCTGCTGCGTATGATGTCTGAAATTTGTTGCCTACATTTTCTTCTAGGATTTTTATGGATTCACAAGTTGCATTTAAGTCTTTTATCCATTTTGAGTTTATTCTTGTGTATGGTGTAAGTTGATGGTCCAGTTTCATTTTTTTCATGTAGCTGTCCAATTTTCCCAATACCATTTATTAAAGAGGCTGTCTTTACTACACTGTATGCTCTTGTGAAATATTAATTGAGCATAATGTCTTGGGTCAATTTCTGGGTTCTCTGTTCTATTCCATGGATCTATATGCCTGTTCTTGTGCCACACCAGCTGTTTTGATTACAATGGCTTTGAAGTATAACCTGATATTCAGTATTGTCATCCCTCCTACTTTGTTCTTTCTCAAGATTGCTGTGGCTATTTTGGGTCTTTTTTTATTCCATATAAACTTTTGGAGTATTTGGTCTAGTTCCATGAAATATGTCATTGGTATTTTAATGGAGATTGCATTGAATCTATGGATTGCTTTGGGTAGAATGGACATTTTAATGATGTTGATTCTTCCAATACATGAACAAGGTATATGCTTCCACTTTTTTTATATCTTCCTCTATTTCTTTTTTCAATGTCCTATAGTTTTCTGAGAACAGGTCCTTTTCTTTTTCAGTTAAGTTTATTCCTAGGTATCTTAGATTTTTTGCTGCAATGATAAATGGGATTGTTTTTTCAGTTTCTCTTTCTGTGAGTTCACTGTTGGTGTATAATTCTGCTGTTGATTTCTTGATGTTAATTTTGTAGCATGCTGCTTTGCCAAATTCATTTATTAGCTCCAGTAGA